TTTAGGAGGATCCTTTTCATAACTTGGGTTGATTGTGCTGCAATAGGTTGAGTGTCCAGGCACGCTTTGGTAAAGTTGTGTGTGTATACACACTTTGTTGGAAGATGTTGCATAGCCGTTCTCATTCCTTTTTCTGCTATTCAAGATTGCTGTAATGCAGAGGTGCAATTTCACTGAGGGCCACATCAGGGTTGTGGTTGACCTTGGGGGGCGGGGCGGCCAGGTGTGGCCAGCTTGATGCCACTCCCCAAACTGCTGGCATGTTTCCTTTTTTTTTTTTTTTTGGTAATTTTTTTTAATTTTTTAAGACCAACAAACATTTAATACATCAATCCTCCCTTCCCTGTGACGCCTCGGTGTTATCTTCTAGGCTTCTTCTCCATCTTCCATAAATTTCTCCTATCTTCATATTCATGCAAATCATTCTAACATTTAATTTCTAAATCAGTATTATAATCATCATTTGTACACAATTATAGCATCAGTCATTTATATCTCTTTTCCAACCAATTATAAAAGTAATTCCATGTTTTAAAATATTCTGATTCCTCCTTATCTTTAATCATCAAAGTTAATCTATTCATTTCTGCACAGTCTAAATTTTTTTTTATAATTTCTTCTTCAAACAGTATTTTCTCTGATTTCCAATTTTGTGCATGCTTCCTCTTCACATTGGGTAGACGGGCCAAAGCAATGCAGACCAGCCCCTTACATTTTCCAGGACGGCCCCATGGACCAGATCCAACCACATCGCAGGCTGGCTCTGGCCCACAGGCCTTGAGCCTGACACCCCTGCTGTAGTGGGTTTGTGCTCCTCTGAATAATGTTCTTACCCAGCTTCTCTCATGGGAGGTTGCGTTGTTAACTTTGGTAGTGGAGCACTTAGTAGTATGGGTTGACATGGGTAGTTCGAGCCTTCTGAAGACCTTGGGTCTTTCCTACAAGTGTACATCAGTGATGGAGCCAGCCTTTCAGAATCTGGTTACTCTTATCATTTGTGGTGTAAAAAAACCCCCTCTAGACTTTAACAAGAGACAACACAAAGAAGCACAATGGTTTGACAGTTGAGGAAAGCCACATCACCTTCCTTGACATCACACCTAGGAGGAAGGAGGCACGACTAATGGGGGTTCCTTAAAATGTAGAGTTACTCCGTTGTGCTAATGAGTCCCGTTCTTCAGCTGCTTGTTAGGGCTGTCAGGAATGTCCACTTGGTTTAAGGTTTGGAGGTGAAAATTGTGTCGGGGTTAAAGGAGAGCAAGAGGCACCTCCGCTTTCAGCTTTGTCCGGTTCTGTATTTCCTCCTTGGCTGTTTGTGAGCCACGTCCCGATTTTATCATTCTTGTCCTACCTGAAAGATCTCTCTTGTGGCTACACTGTTGAGGTCATTGAATGAGCAAGTTCTGTGTGGGTGTTTATATATATAGTCAACACAAGATCAAGCGTGGCTCCCTCTGATTGTGAGCAATTTTTGATCAGGGGTTGAAGGAAGAATTGTGCCTGGTGACTCAGCAGACTAAACGCATTGTGATTAACACCAGCTGTCTGCAATTACTGTAAGTTCGAATCTCCCCAGGCTCAAGGTTGACTCAGCCTTCCATCCTTTCTAAGGTTGGTAAATTGAGGACCCATTTGTGGGGGCAATAAGCTGACTTTGTATAAATATACAAAAGTATGAAGGCTATTGCTTAATGCACTGTAAGCCGCCCTGAGTCTCCGGAGAAGGGCGGTGTATAAATCAAATTAAAAAAAAAAAATTGTACCTATACCAGCCGTCTGGCTCAACTGTGGTCCTTGTTAGCTAGCGGTGCTTCCTTTTTGAACCACAGGCTTGCAAAAAATACTATGGGGAACAAAATGTGATTGTTTGAGGCCAAGTGGGAGTGGAGACAGACGTCAATCATCTGCACTGCATGGCCTTCAAGGAGAGATGTATTCAGAAGCCCAGCTGCATGTGTTTCCAGGTCATAGTCTGTGCTCTGTAACGTAAAACGAGGATCTCAGCAGCTCTAGTAATATAATGCAATTTATTGCAGGGTTTGCAAACCTTGGCAACTTTAAGACCAGAGGTAGATTTCAGCAGGTTCTGACCAGTTCTGGAGAACCGGCAGCGGAAATTTTGAGTAGTTTGGAGAAGCGGTAAATACCACCTCTGGCTGGCCCCACCCCCATCTATTCTCTGCCTCCCGAGTCCCAGCTGATCAGGAGGAAATGGGGATTTTGCAGTAACCATCCCCTGGAATGGGGTGGGAATGGAGATTTTACAATACCCTTCCCCTGCAATGCCCACCAATCCACGCCCACAGAACTGGTAGTAAAATTTTTTGAATCCCACCACTGTTCAAGACGTGCGGACTTCAACTCCCAGAATTCCCCTGCCAGGCATGTGGACTTAGACCATTTGTGAACATGTAATGATTCCAGGAAAAGTCCTCTCTTGACTCCGCCTCCGGGCTCTGCCTCTTCTTTTCCTACAGATAAACGGTGTCTTACACAAGAAAGAGAAAATATATGAATTGGTCCATGAAGGGACCCCCTGCCTTTGAAAGAGGCTTTCCATCAAAGGGGGGGGGGGGGCAGAAAGAGGTCAGATAAAACAAGATGGCAGCTTTGATTGCACTGTCATGGCAGCCCTCTTGATGGCCTTTTAAAAGCCTCCCCCGTGGACAACCCTGCTTTCCACCGGTAATTAGGTGAAACAGAGACGAGTGGAGGAGGATGAGTAAATAATCCCCGTTGCATTTGGCAGGCAAAACAGATTGGAGCCACAGGGCACCAATGAATCACGGCAATTAGAGAGTGATGTGCCCCACAGCCGCTGGCACTGATGAAGACCAAGCGAATCAACCACCCCCGTGCGTCCTACGCAGGGATTATGTCGAATATAACTCACCTAGGCAATTATTCCAACCAAAGAGGTAGCGGTCGCTCTCTTTCCTGAATAATTCCGCATCTTCTCCCGTCGTTTCCATTCCACAGTCCTGCTAAAAGCCCTCTTGACTTGGGAGCATCTTTTCTTCCTGGTATCTTCAAACTCTAAAAATAGTGCGGCAGTGACCAGGCCCCCTTGGGGAAGGCAGGAAAGAAGGAGAAGGCTGCATGTGTGAGTGGAGGGGAGGTGGGAGTGGGAAGCTAGAATTCCTGCCAGGGAAGGAACGCAAAGTCACCCACAAACGCTGCAGGGTGATCTCGCTTTTGATCCAAAGGCCGCCTTCAGACGAACATTAGCTAAGCCACCAGTTCATCAGCTGGACAGTGTCAACACGAAGAGACCCATCAGGTCTAGTACTGGTTCTGAAATGGTTCCCAGTGCCCTAGTCTGGAATCCCCCCCCCCACTTCACTTTGAAAAATCACCAGGATAATATTAAGATTGCTCCATATCTCTGTGCCTTATTGCTTGAGGAGTCTGAAAACGTTTTTTTAACTCTGTCCATTTGTTGGAAAACAGCTGGATTTTCACTATCTGGGTGGAGGGAGGCAAAGGTCAAAGAAAAGTGCAGAATGAAGCAATTACACACACACAAATTGCTTTCTTTGCTATATTACTGTTAACTTTTGTAGCTGACCCTTGCAAAATTTATTATGGCAGGCTCTCTGGAATACTTGGAAAAATATCAGATAGATAGATAGATAGATAGATAGATAGATAGATAGATAGATAGATAGATAGATAGATAGATAGATAATCATAGATGATAGATAGATACATAGATAGATGGATGATAGATAGATTAATAATAGATGACAGATAAATAGATGGATGATAGATGATAGATAGATGATAGATGATAGATAGATAGATGGATGATAGATAGATAATCATAGATGATAGATAATCATAGATGATAGATAGATGGATGATAGATGATAGATAGAAGATTGATAGATAGATAGATAGATAGATAGATAAATAGATAGATAAATAGATGGATGATAGATGATAGATGATAGATGATAGATAGATAGATGGATGATAGATAGATAATCATAGATGATAGATAATCATAGATGATAGATAGATGGATGATAGATGATAGATGATAGATAGATTAATCATAGATGATAGATGGATGATAGATAGATAGGTAGGTAGGTAGGTAGGTAGGTAGATAGATAGATAGATAGATAGATAGATAGATAGATAGATAGATGATGATAGATAGATAGATAGATAATCATAGATGATAGATAGATAGATGGATGATAGATGGAATACACATTTATTATTTCCTTCCCTCCCTCTCTCTGTGTCTACTTCTCTCTCTCTCTCTCTCTCTCTCTCTCTCTCTCTCTCTCTCACACACACACACACACACACACACACACACACACGGGGGGGTGGAGAGAGAGAGAGAGAAAAGAAGATATATAAAAGGCTAAGCGGTAGGTGGATTTTTAATAGCGACATTCACCTTCTGACTCTGACCTCAAACCTCAATCTTACTGAAGGCTTTAGATAAAGTCAAACGCTGGGGGGGTGGGGGGGTTTACAACCCGGATTTGCGTGGTGTCTTTGAGATGCCTGTGAAAAGAATGACAATTCAACTACGTTTTTTCTGCCACCCCCTTTTCGAAACCTCTTCTCCTTCCCTTTCTTCTCCACCATCGACCCCTGACCAAGATCTAAACGGAGGCTGCTGACTCTCTAGAGTGAGAAGGGTTGGTGTGGAAGGGTCGAGAGCAGCAGCCGTCTTCGGTTGTGTTGTGGCTGTGGCAGAAACAACGGCAGTGGAACAGGTGGGTCCCTTCCTTGGCCGTCCCTCGGGAGGCTCTTAACCAGGTCATGTCGTGGCTGAATCTCACAAATCTCATCTGACCCAAAGAAAAAGCTTATCTAAGGCAGGAAAAAAAAAGATTTAGAATATAGAATAACAGAGTCGGAAGGGACCTCGGAGGTCTTCTAGTCCAACCCCCTGCTCAGGCAGGAAACCCTACACCACTTCAGACAAATGGACAAAATTTGTTCTTATTCTTTCTTTTTTTTTAAATTTCTTGCAGGCCGACTACCACTTTGAGTACACCGAATGTGACAGCAGCGGCTCCAGATGGAGAGTGGCCATCCCGAATCCGGGAGCCAAATGTTCTGGCTTGCCTGATCCCGTCAAAGGAAAAGAATGCAGTAGGTCTTTCTGGATTTAAAAGATAAATAGAATAACACATCAGAAAAAAATAATGCCCCGTGTTTCCCTGAAAATAAGACCCTGCCCTATATTTTTTTGAACCCCAAAAGAAGCACTTGGCCTTATTTTCAGGGAGGTCTTATTATTTTGGGGCGTGTGGAGCAAGATGGGGCTCCTCTTGCCATCTTACCTGATTTCCAGCTCTGTGTTTAAATATTTTTGGGGAGGGCTTATTTTCGGGGGCGGCTTATTTTAGTGCATGCGCTCAAAAGCCCGATTGGGCTTATTATCAGGGGAGGTCTTATTTTCGGGGAAACGGCATGTGTACTATACTAGGATTAGTAAGGATGGCCTGATTAAATAGAATAAATTAAAGAATTAAGTGGAAAGATTAGGGGCTGAAAGATAGTATTATGCATGCTTAAATAATGTTTTAATTTGCATTAGAATGATACATTTAAATACTGAATAATTAAATAAGGTTTATATCTTAATACAAATACCGTATTTCCCCGAAAATAAGACCCTGTCTTATATTTTTTGAACCCTGAAATAAGCGCTTGGCCTTATTGCCATGCGCTCAAAAGCCCAATTGGGCTTATTATCAGGGGATGTCTTATTTTGGGGGAAACAGGGTAAGGGTATTAATACTAGGAGTATACAAGCTTAATTAAGGTAGCAAATATTATTGATATTAGTATGGTTATTTGTATCAAAATGAATGATACCCAGATACCACTCTGTTCATGTATTGATCTTGATGTATATATAAAAATAAAAGAAAAAACATATAACAAAAAAGAAAAAAAAAAGAAAAAAATAATTTAATTTTTTAAAAGTAACAATTTAATAATAGTAATAATAATAATAACGTGGTAATAAATCTGCTACAGACTTCACCAATCCTCATTGCTTCCATTTATGGGCTACGTTCATTTAGTTTCTCAGGCTGTAAAAGAGACAGTGGCAGATTTGCACTTTCAGACTTGCAAGGCTCTGTCAATGTAGCTTCACAATGAGGTCGAATTAGCTCGCCTGATTGTGATCCTTACCTGGTTGATGCCATGAAGCCGACATGGTCTGACCTCAAAAACGAGCCCTTTGGACACCTCACTGAAAACTTCCTTAATCCTCATATGAACTATTTATTTAGTATCTGAGGTTGGGAAGACATCTAGCAGAGGGTGCCTCTTCTCAGCGGTGGCCCCTAAGCATGGTCACTCTTAACCTAAAGAGCTGTGGTGGCCCAGTGGTCGGCATGCAGTACTGCAGGCTAATTCTGCCGAATGCCAGCAGTTTGATCCTGACCTGTTTAAGGTTGACTCAGGCCTTCCATCCTTCTGAGGTGGGTAAAATGAGGACCCAGATTGTTGAGAGCAATTATGATGACTCTGTAAAGTGCTTACAGAGGGAGGGAGGGAGGGAGGAAGGGAAGGAGGGAGGGAGGGAGGAAGGAAGGAAGGAAGGAAGGAAGGAAGGAAGGAAGGAAGGAAGGAAGGAAGGAAGGAAGGAAGGAAGGTAGGTTAGAATGCAGCATTGCAGGCTAATTCTGCTGAGTGCCAGGAGTTCGATCCTGACCTCCTGGCACCTCAAGGTTAACTCAGCCTTCCATTCTTCTGAGGTCGCTAAAATGAGATCCTGTTTCTCAGGATTTTGATCTGTTTCTCTGTTATAAATTTTATTGTTTTTGTTGGGCTGCCTGTTGCCTCTCATTAGAGGAGTCTTTGCTTCCTGCCGTTCTGTGGTTTCATTTTATTCATAACCACCTTGATATTTTAAGTAAAAGGTGGAAGAATATAAATTTACAATTAGGTGCCCAGTGTGGTTTTTCTTTTACCAGCGCAGGAGGGAAATGTAATTTCTTTTTAGGTAGTTATGTACTGCTGATATTTCAGTAGAGCAAAAAAGCAGTTGTGGCTAATGAGGCTTCACAATTTCGCTGGGTATTTTCCTCGCTCAGCCTGGTCATAATTTAGCAGAAAAGTATGAGTATTGTTCCCATGTTAAAGGCTTGTTGTTTTTCAGAGAACTGGCTGATGGATCTTCGTTGCCTTTGGGAATTGAAAAAAAATTGCCCCAACTGACTAGTATTAATTTCATGTACGCTCCCCGTGCATTCTCCCCATGCCCCCCATACATGTGCACCCCCCTTTTTGGGCCTAGTAGGCCTCCCTGCACCCTCCTGGGCCCCAAAATGGGCCACCCCCTGCGCATGTGTGCGCGTCTCCCACATGCGTCCCCCGAGCATCCTGAAGATGGGCTGGCTGGCGGGAACTGCGTGCACATGCGCGCTGGAGGGCGATGGCTCATGTGCCTGCAGAAAAGGCTCCGCGTGCCATAGGTCCCCCATCATGGCCCTCTACCATTTTGGACAAATGGTTATTATTATTTTTTTTTGATTTTTTTTTTCATTTGGCTAGTTACACTGACTTTTAATTTTTTTATAAAAAAAAAACCAGACAGCCACACCTGACTGAATGGAAAACATCATTATTATCATCAATCAATCAATATGGAAAAAAAGATCGCACAATGTATATTCTATGAAATTACCAGCAACCTCCTTTTGGGTAAAGATGAAGCTTTGGGGAAGAAATTTTGAGAGTTTGTTTTTCAGGGAGAAGAGAAATAATAAGACGGGCTATCTCAGTTTTCACGAAAGGCAGCTTAGCAACCACGGTCAGCTGTTCCTCTGATGCAAACTCACCTGGGAGCCAGGTGTGTATTCTTGGTCTCCCCAGAGAGAGCTCAGAAGCCCAGAAGGTGTGTTCCCCACACCCTCCTCACCCAGTCTGTGGCCCAGCTAATTGCAGGGGGCGGAAAGTCTTGTTGATGGTCTGAGAGAATAACAAATTTAGCTGAAAATCAAGCCGTCCGGGGGTCCCAGGTACTAATTTGCTATTAGTGGCCATCGGCTGCTGATTAAAACAGGCAACAGCTGGCATTATTCCTCCTTATGGACATGTGTGCTATTAAGGGAACAAAGACACAGCCGTGGAACATGGAAAGAAGAGTCTGAGCAGGGATCAAAGCACGTTAATGAAGAAACAGAAAACTTCATCGGTGACCTAAAACTAGCGTAGGTTCTAATTCACTGCATTTTCAGCTGAATATATATAAAAAATTATGTTCCACTCTGCTGTAGGTCAGGAATGAGAACCTACTTGAAAGGATGTGTGAGTTGTGGTCAAACCTGAAAGTCAAGTTTGGTTGGAAGGCACACAAGTGAATGATATTCTCCACTCCTAGGAGGTTCCTCTTGGTAGGAGGCCCACAAGTTCAGCACAGATCAGCATTGTAAAGAAAAGAGCATTATGGAAATTTCATGTTCTCCTGAGATGAATTATGAGTAGAAGATCAGCAATGACCTAAAGGATATTGGTTGGATCCATCCTTTCTTCCTTCCTTCCTTCCTTCCTTCCTTCCTTCCTTCCTTCCTTCCTTCCCCTTCTCTTCTCTTCTCTTCTCTTCTCTTCTCTTCTCTTCTCTTCTCTTCCCTTCCCCATTCTCCCTCCCTCCCTCCCTGCTGCAGTGTTAGAACACAAGGAATAAATTCCGGATAATCATAGCAAAATATATTTTAATTTTGAGCTTCAAAAGCAGCCCACCTTCTGTGTAAAACAGCTACAGGACCCACATAACTCTAACCAGGTGTCACGAAACCTCTCTGGATGCCTTGAGAGACTTTGGTGGCAAAGTTCACAGCTTCAGCCACACAACCTCAACAGGTAACAATAAGTTGCCCAAACTGTTAAAAACCAAATGAAACCTCAGCAGGAAAATTCGTGTTCCTTGCAAAGAATTCACTGCGTTGCCATTTCACTTTTGGTGACTCTTGAAGTAAGAATAGAACAGGAGGTCTGGAGCAGCCCCTCCTCACCCTAACCACTCCCTACCATAGTTAAAACATGAAGGTCCTTGAATGCCAAAAATGGGAGGGCACGTTTAGTGCAATTCCCCGAATTGCTGCTACCATTGTTGTAAGTGAATTGTGCAATAATCAATGCTTTTTAAAAAAAAAACATCATTAGAATGTGAACTGCTGCCTTTCTCTACTAATCATTCGTAAACTTTTTCCTCCTCAGCTTTCTCTTGTGCTTCTGGTGAATACCTGGAGATGAAGAATCAGGTTTGCAGTAAATGCGCAGAAGGGACTTACTCGCTGGGAAGCGGGATCAAGTTTGACGAATGGGATGACCTGCCAGCGGGATTCTCTAACGTAGCCACGTACATGGACTCCACTCTTGGCTCAGCCGAGAGTAAAGCAGACAGCTGTGCCAAGTAAGGACCTCACGGATCTTCTGGTCTCCAGGACTTCGATGAGAACTAACCCCTTCCTCTCCTTATGGATGCCAAGGCTCCAATAGTAGCCAGAAGATGCCAGCTAGAGGATGTAAACAGCCACTCGCCTGACAAGAATCTGATCTAGGTTTAGCATTCAGAAGGCCAGGATCCTCATAGAGACCAGTCCAGTGTTGTAAAAAAGCATGAGGATGTATTACACAATCATTGGATGCAGGAGTCAGGAAGAATCTTGGAAACTAGCTGGTCCAATCTTTGTCCAGTGTAGGAAGCTTTGTTGCGACATTCCTGACTGATGGTCACCCATCCGGTGTTTATTTAAGCATCTCTAGCAAAGGCGAGATAGTGTCATTGACACAATGAACATGAGTTTGGATTAATTCCAGGAGACAATGTAGAATGGTGGTGGTGGTGGGAAACTGTCCCTCCATTCTCTCCCAGAGTTTGCCCAAATCCACCTTCATTGCGTTGATGACACCATCTAAACATCTCCTCCTCTGCCGTCTCCTTCTCCTTTGTCCTTCTATCTTTCCCAACATCAGGATCTTTGCCAATGACTCCCCTCTTCTCATTAAGGGGCCGAAGTATTTGAGCTTCAGCGTCAGGGTCTGTCCTTCCAAAGGGTACTCAGGGTTGATTTCCTTTAGGATCGACGGACAGGATCTCCTTGCAGTCCAGGGGGCTCTCAAGAGCCTTCTCCAAAAACCCCCAATCAGAAAGCATCCGTTCTTCGGCACTCGGCCTTCCTTGTGGTCCAACTCTCACAGCCAGACATAAACCCCGTAGCTTTGACTGGAAAAGGCAATGGCCACCCACTCCGGTATCCTTGCCAAAAAAACCCCATGGACAGTATCGAAAAGGAAATAGATCCATTAAAAAAATATTTTAAGATTGCCTTCTTTAAAAAAACAAACTCCCTTCCGCCATTCCAGTAGTTTAGTAAACAGCCTGTTGACATACGCCAAATAGATAATTAAATAAAGAGCCTATAAATCAGGGGTGTCAAACACAAGATCTGCGGGCCGGATCTAGCCCACAATGTGGTCGGATCCAGCCTGCGTGGCCATCCTAGAAAATGTAAGGGGGCAGCCTGCGTGGCTTTGGCCTGGTCTACCCAATGCGAAGAGGAAACATGCCAATAGTTTGGGGAGTGGCATCAAGCTGGCTACGCCAACCCAATCAGACATGCCCACCAAGTTGACCACGCCTCCTGAGTGGCGTCAAGATGGCCACACCCACCCATCCCCCTCAAGGTCAACCACAGCCCTGATGCGACCCTCAATGAAATTGAGTTTGACACCCCTGCTGTAAATTAACAGTTCCTGATATAGATATAAACGTGGCTGGGATAAGACAAGGCTTTGTTTCTCGTTATATTTCTCCAGATCTTCGTGGGCCCCTCGTGGGAATTACATTGAGTCCAACAGGGATGACTGCACCGTCTCTTTGATCTACACCGTCCACCTGAAGAAACCCGGCTCCGTCTTCTTCGAGTATCAGTATATTGATAACAACATCTTCTTTGAATTCTTTGTAAGGGAGAATTTCTGCACTAAATCCATCTTGAATTGACGCATGGTATTCCGAAACAGAGCCTAGGGAGGATAATTTTAAGATAGTTTATTGGCCTTCTCAGTGACATTTTGTTTAGGGCTTACGAAGACGTGATTCTCCCCCTACAATAAGACAGCAACTCCTTACTCAGAGTTGCCTGATGTGATCCGATAGGCTGCAATTCTCCAAGATCTCTGAGGCTTTGATGTCCACCAGATAGGAAAAGTGGCCCACTCAGAGACTACCGTAACTAAGAAACCTTGTAAGGCAAAATGTTGTAGACATCGGCTCTTTAAGAGTAAATTCACATGGTTTTGGGTGCTCTAGTTGTGGCCTGTGGCTTGGTTCCTCTTGTGCTTCATGATCAGGTTGAGATGGTTTGGAAGTTCTGATCGAACTGTGTAGACTCTAGGTCATTTTCTTGGCAACAATATGGAAGTGATTTCCCATTGTTTTTTTTCCTTCTCTCTCTCTCTCTCTCTCCAACAATCTTGGAATTTCCAGTAAGATCACCATGTGAACTTACTGAACGTCGGAAGGGATGTTGCCTAGTTCTGTGAGTGTTTGACTTGGTTGGATAAAATAAGGCCACTAATGGACTGGAAATAGCCGTTGGCTATTAAGCAGACAAAACCACTGGAAATATCAGTTTGAAACTTCCAGAAGTTCCTCTAGAAACATCTGAAGGGTCTCATCTGGAGGTCCTGAGCCAAGTTGGGCAGTGAGGGCCACGTAGGATGGACTTTGTAATACTTGAGAAACAGAATAGAATAGAGTCGGAAGGGACCTTGGAGGTCTTCTAGTCAAACAGGAGACCCTGGACCAGTGATGGTGAACCTTTTTGCCTTCATGTGCCAAAAGCAGGGGGGTCGCGCGCGCATGTGCCCACACCCATAATTCAATGTGCCCGAACCCCATGCATGCGCACACAACCCCCCCTCTCCGGTGCTCCCTCCGCTTTTGGCACGCGATGGCACGGTGGGCTTTCTTGGAGCCTAGGGAGGGCAAAAACGGCCTTCCCCACCCCCCCGGATGCCAGAAATGTCCTGTTTGCTGACTTCTGGGCCATTTCCGGCCTCCGGAGGGCCTCCAGTGGGGTGGGGAAGGCTGTTTTTGCCCTCCTCAGGCTCCTAGAAAGGCTCTGGAGCCTGGGGAGAACGAAAAAACGGGCCTTCCCCACCCCCCGGAGACCCTCCTTATGTTTCTGTTATATTTGGACATCTGACCATTAGAAGGACCCCATCTTTCAACACACGTTTGTTCTTGTTAAATGACACGGACAAAAGTGTTAGACATGGATGCCACAACTTAGTATATTTTCTCTCCCAAGCCAGTTGAACTGGTTAGTAACTTGTCTACTGAATAATACCGCTCAGGGATCTTAGCGTGATTATTGTAAAGTGATATTTTTTTTTGCAGTGTGACCTGGGTTCAAACCTCACATGAATCTAAAAAGCACAAATGCTGTTACACAGCAAAGGAATCTCACTGTAAATTAGCAAAGCTTTGCTTCGAATACGCATGCAATTTTTTTCACGAGGAAGAAGGACCACACAATGTTTTATGCAAACCACGGTTCTCTTACGTTCCCCTCTGTCCCCCATAAGTCCTCTGATTCTGTAAATAGGGTAATGGGACCCGTAGCTCACTTTATGACAGGGCAAGGATGATGGGATTGCAGGTAAAGGTGGCATAAATTCTAATTGTTTGTTTGCCTTCATTGACAGCCTGGTAACTCCTGTTATTATTATTATTATTTTTTAAAAAAATTTGATTTATATGCCGCCCTTCTCCGGAGACTCAGGGCGGCTTACAATGCGCTAAGCAATAGCCTTCATACTTTTTGTATATTTATACAAAGTCAGCTTATTGCCCCCACAAACTGGGTCTTCATTTCACCTACCTTAGAAAGGATGGAAGGCTGAGTCAACCTTGAGCCTGGGGAGATTCGAACTTGCAGTAATTGCAGGCAGCTGATGTTAATAACAGTGCTTTAGACCACTGTACTATCAAGGCTCTCTTGATCATTATTTTATTATTTTTTCAGATTCAAAACGACCAGTGCCAAGAGATGGACTCCACCAGTGATAAATGGGTGAAATTAACAGATAATGGAGAATGGGGTTCCTATTCGGTAAGTGTGACCTTGTGTAGCTTCAGTTGTTGGTTTTTTAGAGCGATTATGTTGAGGTCAGAGCATCCCAAAGTGCTCCAAACTACGTCTATTCCAAGATCAAAATGACTTAACTCTGGATCTGACCGTTTGGCTTGACGATGTTCCAGAATTTTAACAGTGACAAATTTAGTGGTCAGATGTTCTGACCTCAGACTGTTTTGATCTCAAAACCTTTTGTGGGTCTCTGTTACTTAATGGCTGAATAATGAAGTGCTAACAGCCCAAAAGGATATATATATATATTTTTTAAATATTATTCATCCTTCCTTATTTTTTTCTTTCCTTGGTTCTCTGAAGTTACCAGCAAATTCATGAAAATCCAGCAGTCACAACTTGGCTAATCTTAGTGAATAGTGAATAGGCCCACCTGTTCTCCAAAGCCTTTGAGGGCAGGATAAGAAGTAACGGTGGAAGATCATTAAATAAAGGTCTAATCTAGAACTAAGGAGAACTTTCCTCACAATTAATCAGTGGGATGGCTGATTTAGTTGTGGCTGCTCCATCACTGGAGGCTTTTAAGAAGAGACTGGACATTCACCGGTCTGAAATGGTGTAGAGTCTCCTCCTCGATTTATTGAGCAGGGGGTTGGACTAGATGACCTCCAAGGTGCCTTCCAGCTCTGTTATTCTATTATTCTATGCATGGTCTCCCTTCTGCCGTTTTACCCGGATTGAAGGAAGTGGTGCAGCCAATAAATAACTAGGCTTATGCGTTACACTAAGTCACAACATGGCTAGTAGTGCATTTCGTGACTTAGTGCCACAAACTGTTATGGTTGGTCACGGAAATTTGTACTGTAATGAGGCCAGTTGTTGCGGCTTTACTTTTACAATTTTTTTTTTAAATCCATGCCTTTGAATGATGTAATTGATCGATTAAAGCAGCATTTAAGTGAGGCCGCTGTAGTCTTTTTGTAAGGAGTCTCCTAGAGAACTCCCAATTTCCATACTCACAATAAAGCGAAGATTGAGATTGTGTGCCTGGTGTGGGTGTGTGGACTGTCTTCAGAACGGTGGAGAGAAACGTCGCATAAAATGCTCGGATATGTGAGACGGTGCATTTTAGTTACCCACCCTTTGCCTTATCACACGTGTAAACATTTCTGAGCAAACTCAAAGGCTGAACCAACAGGGTGAGGCTTTCCTTTTAGAAATGAACTCCTTTCCTCTGGGCTTGGGGTGTGGAAATTGTGTGTTCTTGTGCTGTCAAATTGCTTTCAAATTGGGTTGTCACTGTGTTTGGCTCTAGTTAGCTAATTCCTTCAAGGCACTTCAGCAAAACAAAGTGTGGTGACCCAAAAAACTCACATCAATCTCAGTGCTTCGTTATCGGTTCAAATGTATAATACTTTTCTTGTCAGGGTTTTTTCCTATGTAGCTCAAGTTGTTTTGTGTAGCCATAGTGGGTGATAGTGATTTGAGATATCACCCCACTATGGCTACAGCCCTGGTTCTGTGAAATCTCATTCACAAGTTTCTGGGCTTTTTATTTCTAGCTGACAAACAGCAACTCAGTTGCTGTTTCTCCCAAAGAGCAGCACTGAGTTGCTGTTTGCCAGCAAGAAACAAAAAGCCCAGAAACTTGTGAATGAGATTTCACAGAACTAGGGCTGTAGAACATCTTAGCTTACATAGGTAAAACCTGGCTAGAAAGAATATGCATGCATGCATGCATGTATGTATGTATGTATGTATGTATGTATGTATGTATGTATATTCTCTTCTACGAGCATTTGCTGGCCAGAGATTTATACTTTCCAGGAAAAAGCTTGACTAAAAGACTAGACTAGCGCTCCATGGCATAGGACCCGGGTACCTTCGAGACCGACTTCTGCCACCAATAGCCTCCCACCGGCCAGTCCGCTCCCACAGAGAGGGTCTCCTCAGGGTGCCTTCGGCCAAGTTATGTCGGCTGGCGACACCCAGGGGGAGGGCCTTCTCTGTGGGAGCCCCAGCCCTGTGGAACGAACTGCCCCCGGAAATACGTAAGATCCCCGACCTCCGGGTATTTTGCTGTGCACTGAAGACCCTGTTGTTCCGCCAGGCCGGGCTATCGACATGATAATTTTAAATTGGGGTATTTTAAATTTCTGGGGTTTTAAATGGAGCCAAATTTATTTAATAATTTTAAATTTTAAATTGATGTCTGTCTTGTGTTTTTAAATAGGCTGTACACCGCCCTGAGTCCTTCGGGAGAAGGGCGGTATAGAAATAAAATTATTATTATTATTATTATTATTATTATTATTATTATTATTATTATTTTTAGACAATCACCTGTCTGGAATGCTTGAGCAGGGGGTTGGACTACATGACCTCTAAGGTCCCTTCCAGCTCTCTTGTGATTGATTGATTGATTGGCCTCTTTCTCTTCCATCCAGTCTGTGCTGTGCTTAGTTTGTGTTAACGTGAGTCTGTCTGGAGTCCTAATCATGTTATTCCTTTCTTCCTTTCAGGTAACGCTGAAATCAGGAACGAATATCTTGTACTGGAGAACCACGGGGATCCTGATGGGGTCGCAGGTGGTAAAGCCCATCCTTCTGAAAAACATCACAATCGAAGGTGACCATTTTCAGTGCATCAATGCGACAATTTTGTTTTGATTGCAAGGAACACTCTTGTCTTGTAGTCACAGCTCTTGCCACTTTTAGGATACTTAAAACAGTTCTATTCTGCTTTTCTTAAAAAAATCAAAAAATGAATCATGCAAAACCGGTCGTAAAAATACCTTGATTGTAAATGCATTTCTTCAAGGAAAGCCAATGGCAGAAAAAAATAATAATATCCAGGGGGAAGAGGATTAAATCAAAACGCAAAGAAAATGGAAATTAAAAATCGGGAGGCCTTGAGTGGCACTTGAAAATTTGTGCCTTTGTATGCAAAGGCACAAATTTTCATGAGGCTCAGCTCAGCCGATCAGCTGCATAACTGGTGGATGGGACACCAACAGGAAATCCCCAAGTTGAAAAGGAATCCTTTAAATAATAATAATAATAATAATAATAATAATAATAATAATAATAATAATAATAATAATTTTAAAAATCATGGAAAAAGAAACTGGCTATTTCTATCCTGTGGCCAGGCAAACAATATAGATAAGTTAATGAAGACTCCAGGAATTTAGATCAGCTTGTGAGAATGTTTATCTTTGCAGCTGGAATGGGGGATGTATAGGAAAAGACTTAAAATAAAATGTGAAGTTTCTGATTTCTGATTTCTTATTCTTACTTTCCCACTCTTATATCTCTCTGAGGGAGATGGGAGGTTAAGAAATAGGGAATATAAATAAATATTTGCAGTGGCATTTTTTAAAAAAATGTGTACTAGTTGGGTTAGTATATAGCAGTTTGGTGGGCGAGTTAGTTACTAGGAAAACAGTGACACCTGCTGGATAGAAGCGAATCCGCAGGGAAAATAGTAGCTTGATTAAGAATTCGGGCGAGTGAAAAATTAAAATTCACATGAGGTTAACGCGTGAGTTATAGAACAATAGATGGAGTAATATCATTACACAAAATGGTCCCTCTTTTGTGGAACAGCAAGAAAAAAATGCATTGGGTGGGAAAAGAATTATAGTTTTTCATTTATTTGTAATTTGTAAATTGTGTAAATTTTATTGTTAGAATAGGAGAGCGCTCTGCAAATGTGTTGATTGCAGCCTATGAAATGGATTACACAAGGATTTTTTCCCCCAAGATGTTTTGGGAGAGGCAAAATCCCATCTAAGAGATAAGCGGCCCTTTCTGCATGCCTGCCTCCCAGGAATTTCCCTTCCTCCCACCTCCTTTTTAAAAACCTCTCGCCAAACTTTTGAGTGAAAGTTGACACTGAAGAAGACACGCATCCCTAGGTGTCAAAGGAATTCACAGAATTGTATCCTTCAGCTGTCATTTTATATGTGAGCCCTTTGAACACTTGAAGCTTTTAAAAGAAAGTAGATCTGTTATTTGTGTTCAGTTTTTTAATACATCCTCCACTGTTTAGACTTGAGTATAAAGAGGCTTTATACTGGCTAATCCAAGAAAGTTCTAGGTAAATAAAATTCTGAATTTTGTAGCTGAACAGGGATTGAAACCCAGATAATCTTGCTCCAATCCAGCATTATGCACTCCAAAACACCCTCATACGTACACACACCTCCATTGTTGCAATTGGAAGCAAGCTACTTCTGGGTTGGTTGTGTACTTTCTAAATGGCTCTGTCTTGTTTTGCAGGGGTGGCCTACACATCTGAATGCTTTCCCTGCAAACCGGGCACCTTTAGCAACAAATCAGGTTCCTCCCTGTGCGAAATCTGTCCAAGAAACACCTACTCAGAAAAAGGGGCCAAGGAATGCACGAAGTGTCCAGAAGCCACCCATTACTCAGGTACTTTCCCTTCGCCAAGGAAGCACCGGACGGACGGAGATGCCCCTTCAAAGCGAAGGAAGATTCAGAGATTAGAGACCCACTTTTTATGAAGGCAGCTCTAAGAACTCGTAGCCAGACAGAGAAGCACTTTGTAAGCATGGAGGCCTTTGTGATGTGATATTAAGTAAGAAAGGTCATTAATGTTGCATGTTCAGAAGTTTGCATGAATGAAGGGGCATCATAGAACATAGCATGATAAGAGTTGGCAGGGACCTCAGAGGTCTTCTAGTCCAGCTCCCAGCTCAAGACAAGAGCCAACCAGTCTATTTTTGAAAACCTCCAGTCCTGGGGCACCCATAACTCTGGGAGGCAAGCTATTCCATGGATTAATTGGGCAGATGTTACCGTATATTAATGCCATTACTTGATGGGATGCAAGCCAAGAACCAGGCCCCTTAGTGCCACCAGGCTCAGCAGACTAAAAGCATTGTGATTAACACCAGCTGCCTGCAATTACTGTAAGTTCGAATCTCACCAGGCTCAAGGTTGACTCAGCCTTCCATCCTTTCTAAGGTAGGTAAAATGAGGACCCGGATTGTGGGGGCAATAAGCTGACTTTGTATAAATATACAAAAGGATGAAGGCTACTGCTTAACGCATTGTAAGCCGCCCTGAGTCTCCAGAGAAGGGCGGCATATAAATCAAATTAAAAAAAGAAAAAAAAAAGAATGGAATACACACCTAGAGGGATTTAAATTGTTTAAAAGAAACAGACCTAATAAAAGAGGAGGTAGAGTTGCACTGTATATCAGAAGTGACTACATTTCTACAGAACTACAGCAGAACAATGATGAAATAGATTTGTGTCAATATAAAAGGAAAAAAGAATTGTATGGCCATAGATGTATTCTACAGGCCACCCAACCATGCAGAATAGATGAACTTTTTGCTAGTCAGTTAACTAAGTTATGTAGGAAGCCCACTGCAATAGTAATGAGGGACTTTAACTACTCTGACATCAACTGGGAGACAAACTCTGCACCTAATGGAAGATCAAAGACATTATTCTGTCACTTATTTGCACTATCAGATTTTTTTCACCCTTATTTCTAAGTTGGATCTCTCCTGCTCAAGCTTCCACCCGTTGCTTCTTGTCCTGCTCTCTGGTGTCATAGAGAACGGGTCAATCCCCTCTTCTTTATGACGGCCCCACAAGTCCTGGAAGACAGCTACATGCCCCCCCCCACATAACCCTTCTCTTCATAAATAAAGTTGCCTCGAGAGACAGCTAAAGAGAATCTGCTTTCCAGATTTATTGTAACCAAAATAGCAGGCAAACAAAGAAAGCCAACCTAGAAATAAAGAGAAATCTTCCGTCAGTGAGAACAATTAACCAGTGGAACTGCTTGCCTCCAGAAGTTGTGGCTGCTCCATCAGAGGAGGCTTTCAAGAAGAGATTGGACATCCACTTGTCTGGAAAGGCATAGGGTTCTCCTGTTTGAGCAGGGGGTTGGTCTAGAAGACCTCCGAGGTCCCTCCCAGCTCTGTCATCCTGGCTCTTGCTTCTCCCCCAGTGGAAGAAAAAAACCCCACCTTCGGTATTTCATGTCTCATGTCTTGCCAGGCAAGGTGGGCCTCACGCTTCATGTCTTTTGCTTTCAGATGAAGGATCAGGCCAATGTCTGGAACGCCTTCCTTGCTCCAACAAGGACTTTTTCCAAATCCATACTCCGTGCGATTCGGAAGGAAAAGTGAGTTGCCGTCCCTTCCCCTGCTCCCAATCCTAAATCTTCCCAATCGGTTTAAAATGGGGAGATGGCAGTGGGTCAGATGTCAGAAGTCTCCACTCAGGAGCGTCTGAAGGCTGCTCCTCCTTTGACCAGGGATTGGCTCCTGGGTGTCAAAGTCCTTGGCTGGGCTGAAATCTGCGTTTGTCCTTTCTGGACCGGGACGCCTTGCGCACGGTCACTCATGCCCTTGTTACCTCCCGGCTGGACTATTGTAATGCTCTCTACATGGGGCTCCCCTTGAAGAACACTCGGAGGCTCCAGCTGGTCCAGAATGCGGCCGCGCGGGTGGTTATGGGCGCAACTCTTTGTGCCCGTGTGACACCCCTCCTGCGCGAGCTGCACTGGCTCCCAGTGGTCTTCCGGGTGTGATTCAAGGTGTTGGTTACCACCTTTAAAGCGCTCCATGGCACAGGACCCGGGTACCTTCGAGACCGTCTTCTGCCACCAATAGCCTCCCACCGACCAGTCCGCTCCCACAGAGAGGGTCTCCTCAGGGTGCCATCGGCCAAGTTATGTCGGCTGGCGACACCCAGGGGGAGGGCCTTCTCTGTGGGAGCCCCAGCCCTGTGGAATGAACTGCCCCCCGAAATACGCAAGATCTCCGACCTCCGGGTGTTTCGCTGCGCACTCAAGACCCTGTTGTTCCGCCAGGCAGGGCTATCAACATAATAATTTTAAATTGGGGTATTTTAAATTTTTGGGGTTTTAAATCGGCCAAATCTATTTAATTATTTTAATTTTTAATTATTGTTGTGTCTTGTGTTTTTAAATTGGCTGAACACCGCCCTGAGTCCTTCGGGAGAAGGGCGGTATAGAAATAAAATTATTTAAATTTAAATTTATTTAAATAAATTTATTTATTTTACAAGAGTAAAATGGTTTCAAATGCCTTGGAGGTAGATTTTTATTTTTATTTATTTTATTTTATTTTATTTTATTTATTTCGAATTTATATACCGCACCTTCTCCCGAGGGTCTCAGGGCGGTGTACAGCCAGATAAAAACATACAATACAAACATTAAAAACAATTAAAAGGATATATATTAATTTGGCCCCAATTTAAGATAACAAGATGGGCCCAGTGTCAAATGTCATGGCAGAAAAGCAGTCCATGCCCAGCCAGGTTGCTCATTCTTGATGTCACCAATAGAAGGGAAGATTTGTAGCTCAGGGTTGGACAGTGCTTCTCTCTCCGAAGATCAGTTGTGCTTTAGAAGCTTTTTTTTTAATCCCCAAGCAGGGGATAAAAAACAGCAAATTAAGGTGCTGAAGCTGACCAGACTAAGGATGCTAGCCAGATGAATACCTGGTAGGCTGATATTTTTTTTCCTCCCCAAAAACTAAGCTGTGTCTTATACTCCGGTGGGTCTTATACTCCAAAAAATACGGTACTTTTAATTAGGTGAAATGGTGGGAATATTCAGAGTCGATTTTCACCAAGTCTGTGCCAATATGACATACCCAGTAAACGTATTCTTTGAGGAATATACTTGCCTCAGAGTTTTCGTTTGCTACGGGTATGTGACTTGGACCCCTGACAGTTGCTTCTTTCCCTTGCTTTCTTTCCTCTTCCAGCTGTGCCTACCTGACTGTCCATCTTTCTTAAGCATATCAGTTTTTCTTTGCTTCTGTGTCTTCTCATTTTCAGACGCAGATCATGTACAAATGGGTGGAGCCCAAGATCTGCCAAGAGGACATGTCCGAAGCGGTGAAGCTCCCTCCTTCGGGAGAGAAGAAAGAATGTCCACCTTGCAACCCTGGTTTCTACAACAACGGCTCGTCATTCTGCACTCCGTGTCCACCAGGGATGTTTTCTAATGGAAATCAGGGTATGAGAAACTGACCGGGGATGGAAACTCTGGATTAGTAATAGAAGCCCTTGCTTTTATTTGAGGTAGTGTTAGTGGTGGTACCCATACATCCTCCTCTCTATGAACTCAGACTGTGATATATATACAACACGGATCTTGAAGGATCTTCTGTCTCTTAAAAATGGGGAAACTCATTTAATCAGAGGCAAAACAGGCAGGAAACTATCAGAGTTTCTTGCAAAAATCAAATCCAGAAGCACACACAGATATTGATTCAGCTGGATTCATTAACTTCTTTATATACATAATAACAGATGAAGTATTTACAATACCGATATAGATTCTTCTTCAATGTAGTAGCAGTTACAACACAAGGCAGGAGAGAACAGTTCGTTTCATTTCAGCAGAGCAGACTAGTTCACACACAAACTGGTTTCAGTTTCGTTTTTCAGCACAGACTCAGAAGCTGCAGACTAAGACATGCCCTGGCTCCAGTCTGTCTCAGCTCCCAATTGGCTGACTTAGTTGCTATGCCTATTCATTGGCTGACCTTGTTATCCTGTCTCTGCCAGTTCATGAATAATCTGACAGAAACTAGACTGGATGAATTAATTTGACTTTATTGTAAGGCTACATTAACAGAATCTGGCACGCCTGAAGGTACAAGCTTCTTGCTTCCACTTTTAAGGGATTGGTTCATTAGGGCGGGTCCGTCTTAAGGATCTTTCTCTGGCCCTGAAGCCCTGGAGGCTCCCTTTAGTGCCAACTTCCTCTCGATCGTCTAAGGCAGAATATCGTAGGCTGGTTTCTGACCCAATGTGTCTATTGAGTAGTACAAGGCCCTCATGCAAGGGGAGCATCACGCTTTCCGAAATGATGAAGGCTGTGTTAACTGAAAGGTAGCTGGCCTTGGAATAATCGAAGCAGGTTCATCCACGAAGGTCTGTGTCAAGATGCCACCCACAACCGTGTGATCTGTGTGGCTTGTGTAAAAAAAAAAGAGGACAGAGCTTTGGCTCCATGGTTGCAACCATCCTCTTGAAATTTTTCATTCTCTCTCTGTGGGGGCATATAGACTGGGGTGGGGTTGTTTTTGTTTTTACGGTGCCTATTAAAACAGTTTGTTTTAAAAATCAAGGGTTTTTTTGGGTGGGGGGATTGTTCTGACCCAGCTCCCCAAAGACGACAAACCCTCTGAAGTGAACTCAAAGATTCCTTTAATTAGGAGCACCAGCAGCCCTGGCAAAAAGTCTCCCTCTCCCTCACAGCGGGCTAACAAGTCCGTCTGCCACATCTATTCATCTCCGCCCCCTGCCTTTTATCCCCAGAGCTAGGGTGCACCGGTGCTAGCAGCAGTGGGTCTTCCTTCCCAAGGACCGGCCCATAGATTTCATCTCCTCTCCTCTCCTCTCCTCTCCTCTCCTCTCCTCTCCTCTCCTCTCCTCTCCTCTCCTCTCCTCTGACTTCTGCACATCCGTGGATCAGGCACTGGACCCAGCTGCTTCTCCTCTTCCTCATTAGCCACCTCCAGAGCTGGGGGCTGTTGACTCTCCATCTGAGTGCTGATGGATGGCCCAGGCTCCATCTCTCTCTCTCTCTCTGCCAGCTCCATTCCCTCTTCCCCCTCGGAGCTCCCAGGTTGCCCTGATGCTGGCCCTGACTCCCACGCCTCCTCCTCCTCCTCCTCTGATTCGGCTGCTGGAGGGGCCGGCGGCCGATAGGCCACAACAGGAATATCTTAATTCTCGTCTCCTCCTTCTTTAGACTGCAAGGCCTGTCCTGCTGGCACTGAGCCAGTGCTTGGACTAGAATATAAGTGGTGGAATATGCTGCCTCTCAACATGAAGACTTCCTGCTTCAACGTTGGGAACTCCAAATGCGATGGGATGAATGGTGAGCTGGCCTTTATATTACATTTCCCGTCTCTACCTTCCTGTTGCTTCAGGCCCTGCAAGAGATGTTGGGTGAGCAAGGATCAAACCAAGCGTAGCGTTTCCTACAACATCAAGGACTCAGTCTGTGCTTTCGTCTTAACAGGAGATAAGGATTTAGCTGTTCTCCAAGACTGGAGGACAATTTCTCCTAAGCTCGAACCTTCACCCAAGGTTCAGCTGTGTGGTTAGAAAAAGCACATCCAACTGAGAGCAAAGGAAGAAATTCCACCCAAGGAACTCGGCAGTCCCTGGCAGAGGAGAACGTTACAGCCAAGATGCAGCCCTTGTTTTTAAGGTGAGAAATGGGCCTGCTATGCCTCTCAGAGACTTCAAGCTCCCATTTCTCCTCTTAAAAAGTCCACAACAATTTCCATAAATTGACTCCACCCATTCTGGGGGTTCATGGCATCTTCAAGTTGTCTCTTGTGGCCCTTTTGGTGGCCAGAAGCTTGGAGATGTCCTCTGCTTGGACCTCTGGCAAGTTGGATCATTTGCATGATCAGCGATTCCTCTTCATAACAGTTTGACAATGTTCCTTGAAGGCTACCATAGCAAGCTGTAGTTTCTGTGCCTACGGGCAAGGGATGTGTGTCTCTGTGTGTGTTTGTGTAAACAAAAGTGATTGGATTTAGGGGAGATTTGTTTCCATTTTCAAAATTATGGCTGGTCTATCTTTAGACGGGGCTTTTATTTTTTTCAGGCTGGGAAGTTGCTGGTGATCACATCCGGAGCGGAGCAGGAGGCACAGATAACGACTATCTCATTGTGAACCTTCACGTACCTGGATTTAAGTAAGGAATCCTGCCGTATCTGATGGGCCTGGCGAGGGGCTTGTGTCCTGATGCTTTAGCCTGCTCTCAGGTGGAGCCTGCCAAACCTGGGCGGGAGGCCGTGGGGGTCCTTTTTGCAGTCGGCTTTGTCTGTGCATTAAGAAGCAGGATTTCTTTTTTAATATGTTTTTATTTTATTAGTTTAGACTCTAAAATACAAAAATACGGGGGGGAAACCCAGTAGGAAAATAGGGGAGGGAGAAGGGAAGGGAAAAGTGTAGGAAAAAGGGGAAAAAAAGAAAGAAAAGGTGTTGAATTCTGATTCCCTTTGATGCAGTAGAATAAGATAATAGCATCAAACCTCAATTTTTTTACTTTTCCATAGCAACATCAACTAGCCATTTCTATAACAACAAACCTATTTAATCGGTAAAACCCAAAATCAAAGTTTCAGGTTTTTTCCACCTCAAGCACAAAGTTCAGAGGTGGTTTCCAAGTAGAAACAAAAGTAATTGTGGTGTTTTTTTTTTCTTTAATAAGAAACATAATTTCTGAAGCTCAACCTTGATAAGGTGAAGTACAAATGGCATAACATGCTTTATGTGACAATATATACATATATAAAATTAACAGTTCATTGCAGGCACCAAACAGGCTCTGTTTTAAGGTTGTCCAACCTTGGCAACTTTAAGACTTGTGGACTTCATCAGGATCTTTTGACACACATGAGTTCAGTCTTAAATTTAGGAAGAGGAAATAAAGATCCTTTATTAGTTTAGTAAAAAAAAAAAAAAAAGAAGAGAAAATGAACAAAAATAGTCCGCACAAGGCTAAAGATGCTCAACTTTTTTTAAAATGAGAAATCCAATACTGAGTTTTAGATGAGCAAACTAATGAACAGCAAGATATTCCAAAGGTCCTTTTTTTTCAAGAGGCAGCTGGACTTTCTGGTTTTTCTTTGAAGACATTTCACTTCTCATCCAAGAAGCTTCTTCAGTTCTGAGCTTCTTCACCACTGAGCTCTGAGCCGAAGAAGCTCCTTGGATGAGAAGCGAAACGTCTTCAAAAGAAAAAACCAGAAAATCCAGTTGCCTCTTGAAAAAAAAGCACCTTTGGGACAAACGTGACCTGGAGGACGGAGTATCTCCATAGGCAAACAGCAAGATGGGCTTTTCGTTTCTTTGGACCTTAAGTGGCAAGTTGTTTTGAAAGGACGCTGTCTCGGAGCACCTGGCAACTCATCCCTTCCGCTCTGTTGAACAGGCCTCCCACATCGGTAACAGGAGCGACCGGCTCAGAACTTGGACGCATCACGTTCGTGTTTGAGACCATTTGCTCTGCAGACTGTGTGCTCTACTTCATGGTGGTAAGTGAGGAGGATCCACTGAGGACCACTGCGTGCGGCCTTCCTCCCAGCTGCTCTCATTCCTAAGCAGGAACCTTCTGGGTGGCAGTGATGGATGCCATCCCTTCAGGGGTGGTAGAAGAGAGAACTTCACCCTTGCTGACCTCTGTCCTCAGTCCTAGATAAGTGTTAAGGATATTGTTGTTGTGTTACCAACCAGCAGAGTGTAGAGCACAGAGAAACGTTGCTGAGAGCAATGAATAAGAGATGTGCAAACTGGTTTATCAAAAGTTTACTTTATAGTAAAAAAACAATCTCATAGTCTTTAAATCAATCCAAGTCTTTGCCAGTTAAATCAGTCCAGTGATACAGAAACTCTTCTTACCACACAAACAGTAGTTGGTTAGAATAACAAACTCACTCTGGTTCACAAACCACGATGGTAGCAGATCCATCCAACGATGATAGCACAATGACAGCAACTCCACACACAATGGTAGCATATCATCAACTGAATACGTTACAGTTTCTTTCTTAAATACATTCACAACTAATTACAGCATGACTCAGCATTACAATGAATCAGCAGGAAAGCTTTAAAGTCACACAATACATATCCATATTAAAGTCACAGAACACATATATTGCCTGGACAACTTGTTAGGCTCAAACCATATCCTAACAATAAGCAACCTTGACACCTCCTGTTCTTAAAAGGGAACTCATCCCTCCTGGTATTAAAATTCATTACCATACGAAGTAACGTCACCAGAAAAGGTTTCCTTTCCCTGGAACAGGCCAAGTCTTCCAGTTGACCCAATCCTGCCAACCTTATCCAACAGCCTCAGTTCCGCTACCTAACGTGCGTTTTCTTCGTGTGTTTTTTGGGTGGGTTGCCTTTTAGGACATCAACAAGAAGAGCACCAACGTGGTGGAGTCGTGGAGTGGGGCTAAGGGCAAGCAGTCGTACGCCCACCTCATTTCCAAGAACGCTTCCTTCACCTTCACCTGGGCTTTCCAAAGAACCAACCAAGGCCAAGATGTAAGTCCCACCAATCCTTTCAGTCAAAATAAAGCTCTTTTTTTTTAATCTATGAAACAAACCTTTGTTTGCAGTTTTCAAAGAGCTAGCAAACTCTAATCCCCAAGCATTACGATTACAGGGGGGCCTTGACTTAGGACCACAATGGAGCCCAATGTTTCTGTTGTTGAGTCAGACATTGGTTAAGTGAGTTTTGCCCCATTTTATGACCATTCTTCTCTCGGTTGTTAAGTGAATCACCGCTGTGGATAAGTTAGTAACCCGGTTGTTAAGTGAAGCCGTCTTCCCCCTTGATTTTGCCTCGTCAGAAGGTCACAAAAGGGGATCACATGACCCCGGGACACTGCCACCGTCATAAATATGAACCAGTTGCTTCAAAGGTCATAAGTGTGAAACATGGTCATAAATGCCTTTTCTCAGGGCCATGTAACTTTGAACACAGACCATCAAAGACACCACAGTCCTCTCGTCCATCTCCTTCTCCTTTCTCTTCTTCCTCTCCTCTTCTTAGTTTTCCTCCTCCTCCTCCTTTTCTTCTCCTTCTCCTTCTCCTCTCCTCCTCCTCCTCCATTCTCTTCTTCCTCTCCCCCTCTTAATTTTCCTCCTCCTCCTTTCTCTTCTTCCTCTCGTCTTCTTACTTTTCCTCCTCCTCCTCTTCTTCTCCTTCTCCTTCTCCTTCCTGCTTCCTCTCCTCTTAATTTTCCTCCTCCTTCTCCTCCTCTTCCTTTCTCTTCTTCCTCTCCTTAGTTTCCTCTTCCTTTCTCTTCCTCCTCCTCTTCCTCCTCCTCCTCCCTCCTCCTCGCCCTCCTCCCTCCTCCTCCTCCCCCTCCTTTCTGCAAACTCCACTCCCTTCTAGCACCGATTATGTTCCCCAGTGGGAGAATGAACCATCTGCAAGCTCAGAGGTCACCAAGGACCCCAGACTTCAACCTCCAGCTACAAATATTCTCTTCCCTTGGTAATGACTGAAGTGGAGGTGTTACAAATGGCTCTTTATTTATCTGAGTGTAGCATTTCTTAGATGATGATCACGATGACAACGATAGACAAGATGGAAAAGTGATGCATTTAATGGGTCTTAATGGTCTCTCTCTCTCTCTCCTTTTTTTTTTGGATTGTTTCTTTCAGAACAGGAAGCTGATCAACGACGTGGCCAAGATCTACTCGATCACTGTGAGCAATGCAGTCGACGGAGTGGCCTCCTCCTGCCGGGCCTGTGCCATTGGCATAGAACAGTCCGGCTCCTCCTGCGTCCCTTGCCCTCTTGGGCACTACATAGAGAAGGAAACCAACCAGTGCCAGGCATGCCCTCCCAATACATACCTCTCCATCCACCAGGCCTACGGGGAAGAAGCCTGCGTCCCTTGTGGGCCTGGCAGCCAGAGCACCAAGGTAAAGTCAGAAATGTTCGACTTTGAAATAAATGTGATTAGATCAGTGGCTTGTCTAGATCAGGGTGTGTCCAATCCTTGTCCATCACCAAGTCTCCCTGAGCTCTCTCTTTGTTAGACCAAACTTACTAGTTCCCTTAGCCGTTCCTCATGCAATTTGACCCTGATCATCTTGGTTGCTTTTCTCTGCCCTCTTTTTCTAGAGTCTCGGTTCCTTTCCTGCATCATGGTCACGAGAACCGGATGCGATATTCCAAGTGTGGCTTCATTGAGGCAGTGCAGAGTGGCACCATCACTTCCCATGACCTTGATACCATCCCTTGTTCTGACCCAGCCTTTGCAAGTAATGCTAAGCCGTTTACTCGCGAGTAAAACAAGCCCCATTTTATAATGGCAGTAACGGCCTTTCGTTCACAGGGATAAACAAAATATCAAACGTAATTCGTCCCAACAAACCTAGGTTTAGCCAAGGAATCTGAATGGCTTTCTGTGTACTAGAAATGAATGATTGTCTGTGACAACCGGCTCCTCCCAATCCCCTCCTATTTATTTCCCAGCCAGGGAGGCGCTTTGCTAACATCTGCATTTGCCTTTCCCCGAGAGCCGGCTTATTGCTTTCCTTTGCTCTCCTCTCCTCTCTATGCATCTGTGCATCTGGGATAGGCCCCATCTGTTCTTCCACCTCACTCAGCTCAGGCCCTGAAGGCAGCTGCCTCTTCACCTGTGGGCAGACAGAATGCCCCGATTCTGCCTCTGTCTCGGATGCTGTTTCCTTATCAGAGCCTTCCAAAGGCTCCGAAGCTGGACCAGGCCCTTCCTCAACCTCCTCCTCGTCTGACTCTGCAGCTAGCTCTGCTGGCAGCCGAAGGGGCCGCCACATCCCTCAGTTGATGTAGCCTAGGAGTGTGTTGGCTTTTTTCTTTTTTTTTCTTTTTAGCAACCGTGGCACACAGCTGACTTAAGCAGTTGTAAACCAACTCACGTTTCCAGAGATTAGAGAAGAGTTATCTTCTTTCTCTTTTCTCGTCAAAGCTTTACCTAGTCATGCCAGAAACTTTCAAGAACTCATTCATCTCTCTTAAATGATCAAAGGCCTGGAGACTAAAACGTATGAGGGAGGGTTGCAGGAATTGGGTATGGGTAGTCTAGAGAGAACATGAAGAATGGCTGCAGGTTTTGGGTTTGGCCAGTCTAGAGAAAAGAAGGACTAGAGGGGACAAGATAGCAGTCTTCCAGCATTTGAGGGGCTGCCATGGGTCAGCTTATTTTCCAAAAGCACCAGAAGGCAGGACAAGAAACAATGGATGGGAACTAATCAAGGAGAGAAGCAACCTGGAATTAAGGAGAAACTTCCTGACACTGAAGGACAATCAGCCAGTGGATTGGCCTCCAGAAGTTGTGGGTGCTTCATCAGTGGAGGTTTTTAAGAAGAGACTGGACAGCTACCTGCCTGAAAGGGGATAGGATCTCCTGCTTGAGCAGTGTGTTGGACTAGAAGGTCCCTTCAAGCTCTATTCTGATTGATTGATTGATTCTCTTACTACAAAGTACAAGGAAATTATAATAGTCCCTTCTTTGGTCAACTTCAGGATATAGAACTTTCAGTGAGCTACAATTCCCAATACACCCAGCCCCTGCATGATGAATAGGAAGGAAGGGATGCTGGAAATTATAGCTTATGAGTCTCTGGAAGCTGTTGGTGTCACCTTTTCTGATCCACCCCTTCGTAATGATCATTTGTGTGGTTTGTTTCCCCCTAAGCCTAGTTTCTGACTTTTCTTAATCATCCCTACAGCTGTCCCGAAGGTGATTTTTCAGGAGGCAACTGGACTTTCTGGTTTTTTCTTTTGAAGACATTTCACTTCTCATCCAAGAAGCTTCTTCAGCTGTGACTGGATGGAGGGGAATGGAAGGATTTATATTCCTTGCAGACAACTGGCCATTTGCATCCTTTTAGAGGGTCCTTGAAGCACTTGGAGATTTATCTGTGTCCTCAGCAGGAGTGAAATGCTATTGGTTCGCTCCGGTTCGGGCAAACTGGTAGTGATAAAAACTACCGGTTTGGGTGAATAGGTAGTAAAAAAATGCTTTAAAAAAGTAAAAAAAAAAAGGTTCTGACAATCACAGCTGTGCCGCGCGATCGTTGGAACCTTTTTTAAAAACTTTTTTAAAGCATTTTTTACTACCTATTTGCCCAAACCGATAGTAAAAAAATGCTTTAAAAAAGTAAAAAATAAAAAAGTTGTCCATACCCACCCAGTCACATGACACCCCCACCAAGCCACAGAACCGGTAGGAACAAATTTTACGTTTCACCACTGGTCCTCGGGGTTACCTGAGTAGAGCTCCTGGTTCCTGCAATCTGCATTTTTTTTCTTCTGGAAATCCATTCCTACTTTTGAAGCGAAACGTCTTCAAAAGGAAAAAACCAGAAAGTCCAGTTGCCTCCTGAAAAAGCCCCTTTGGGACAACGGTGACCTGGAGGACGGAGAATCTCTACAGACTTTTATCTTCTGCAGCCGCTCACTTCTGTTTTGTCCTCTTGTCCTCTTCTCTTCTCAGGACCGCTCCGCCTGCTACAACGACTGCCTCTTCTCCTCCGTCAGGAACAACCGAAGCCTGACTTACGATTTTGGCCGCCTGAGCAGGGTGGGCTCCTTAATGAACGGGCCGAGCTTCACCGCCAGAGGCACGAAGTTCTTCCATTTCTTCAACATCAGCCTCTGCGGCTCCCAAGTAAGCGCCTGCCTGCCTGCCCAAGGTCTGTCGCAGGCCAAATACCAGGCAGTCTCATCTGGTCAGAGCCAGGAGTCGTGTGCCTCTCCTCTCTTGCGGTGCCTGCCGTTTGTAACCGTCTCCCCTCTGTCATTCAACAGGCCTTGCGCCTTTGAGCATTTAGGAAGGCTCCGGAAACCTAGGTTTCCCCACGGGAGATGAACCTGGCTAACAGAGAAGCCGGTTTTGGGAAGGTGGGAGGCGGCTTTGAAGGATGCTGCGGTTATGTCGATTTGGGTTTTGGTTCCTACCATGCTGTTCCTTTAATGTCCGATGCCTGGAGTCACGGCCCCGCAGTTTGGGTGGCCGTACGAATCCAAACCTAAACAGACAGATAAATAAAGCTTGTCATCTTATTGGGATCTCCAGCCGATTGGAGAATGAGTGAAATGAAATAGGGACTGGTTGACTCTTGACCCTGTTAGGAAGATGTCAATCACACTATCACGTCTGATCTAGAGAGGGAGGGATGTGGTTGGTCTGGCCGTAGATTTGGGATGCAAAAATCAGACAATTACAGAAAAATTTAATTCTCTGCTACCATCTGCAGTTCTGGTTTTCCTTCCTTCCTCCCCCACTCCCTCTCCTTCCTTCCTTCCTTCTCCCTCCCTCCCTCCCTCCCTCCTTTCTTTCTTTCTTTCTTTCTTTCTTTCTTTCTTTTTTTCTTTCTTTCTTTCTCTCTCCCTTCCCCCCTCCCTCTTTCTTTCTTTCTTTCTTTCTTTCTTTCTTTCTTTCTTTCTTTCTTTCTTTTTCTTTCTTTCTTTCTTTCTTTCTTTCTTTCTTTCTTTCTTTCTCCTTCTTTCTTTCTTCTTTCTTTCTTTCTCTCTTCCTTCCTCCCTCTTTCTTTCTTTCTTTCTCCCTCCCTCTTTCTTTCTTTCTTTCTTTCTTTCTTTCTTTCTTTCTTTCTTTCTTTCTTTCTTTCTTTCTTTCTTTCTTTCTTTCTTTCTTTCTTTCTTTCTCCCAAATCTGGCAGCCATACTATTATCAAATTATCTCCTTTCACTGTTCATCTCACTGTCAACTCATTAAAGTAGCCAGATCATTAAGATGGCTATTAAAACAGCTGCCTCTTTGTACTCTTGAAACCTGAGAAAAGAATGGCTACCCTGTATGTACAGAATAACATCAAGTCGTTTTTTAATTAGAGTTTTGAGGTTGTCATTCTATCACAAAATCTTCGCAAATATTGTTTTTGAAATGGACCCTTTTCTGGCAGACATTCAGATGGAAGAAGATCAATGTCCATACAGGGGACATTCCACTCACAAAATGATGTTTTGTATTATTGTCTGAGATCAATCATGAAACTGATTGTTTCTTGTTTTATTGGTCCCATTTGCCCCATCCCATGGCAGCATCTGACATTTTATAGCTCTCTCCTGCTATTTTTACTCAAGTTGGTGATCGTTTATTGCGCTAGATGGCACCCACTGCATTCTGGTTATTTGGGGGAAAAACTAATACGCCCAGTGTCAAAATGAAATTGGAGGAATATGCCATCATTCTGTTTTGTGGCTATTGTTGTACAGTGGCAGAGCAACCTCACACAAAACCTGGCATTATTTGTGCAGTAGGAAGAACAGATCCATTTACGGATATGCAAGACTCGAAAGGTTTATAACTAGCATGCAGATAGGCAATATGGGTCAGTGGTTCCATACTGAAGTCCACAGAGCCTTTTTCTCAGGCTATTCATGAAAGTGGCAGTATCCCTTCTTCTAAATCACCCTTAAGTGGCTGGATTGTTATTTAAAAGTCAAATTACAGCTCATTGTCCTGTGCAAGAAAGCAACATGGTTCCTTTCTTTCTTTCTTTCTTTCTTTCTTTCTTTCTTTCTTTCTTTCTTTCTTTCTTTCTTTCTTTCTTTCTCTTCCTTCCTTCCTTCCTTTGTCTCTCTTTTCTCTTTCTCCCTTCCTTCCTTCCCTCCTTCTTTCTTTCTTTCTTTGTTTCTTTCCTCCTCTCCCCCTCTCCTCCTCCTCCTTTTCCTCCTGCTCCTGCTCCTCTTCCTCCTCTTCCCCCCAATGCAGAAGCCAATCTCCTTTCTCTCTCTCTCTCTCTCCCTCTCTCTCTTTCTCCCTCCCTCCCTCTTTCTTTCCTTTTCTTTCTTTCTTTCTTTCCTTCTTTCTTTCTTTCCTCCCTCCTTCTCCCCCCTCCTCTTCTTCCTCCTCTTCTCCCCACTGCAGAGGCCAACCTCCTCTCCCTCTCTCTATCTCTCCTCCCTCCCTCCCTCTCTTCCTTCCTTCCTCCCTCCCTCCCTTCCCTCCTTCCCTCCCCCCCTCCTCTCTCTCCTCCTTCTAGTTGTTTGATTATCTTCAAAGGAATCACCAGGTTCCTTTCACTGTCACGCAACTCCGTTTTTTGCGGATGGTTTCCTGAATTTGTCAGCAAACTGGCACGGAATTGTAGAAGCCTCTGACTCTGGTTTGACCTACGTTAAGAAGTTTGCCATGCTCATCAATAAACAAATCGCCCTTTCCCCCTTTCAACTTCCACAGGGAGAGAAGAGAGCCGTCTGTGCGGACAACATAACGGATATCACCCTTAAGGATATGGTGGCCGAGTCAGAAGATTATTCCAACGTCGTGCGGGCGTTTGTCTGCCAGTCGACCATCATCCCTCCGGACAGCAAGGGCTTCCGTACAGCTCTGGCCCTCCAGTCGACCAGCCTGGCCGACGTGTTCCTGGGTAATCTTCTCCTTGTGGCGATGCAAGAATGGACAGCAGTAAAGCTGAGGCTTTAGAGGGGGAATAGGAGGTCATGGACTTCATCCAACAGAGCTCTGATACTTAGAAATAGGATGGTTTTGATGGGTAGTTTTTGCAAGTCTAAAGACAGGCGTCAGGGGATGTCCGCATCATCTGTCAAGGGTGGTCTTGATAGAGGAGAATATTTGTAGTTCTGGGTTTAATTATGGGGTCCTTGGTGCTCTCTGGGCTTGGCAGTTTTCTTGCAGATGTTTCACTACCCAACTAGGGAACATCATCAGTGCTAGAAGGGAGAGGGGTTTGCAGAGAGGAGGAGGAGGAGGAGGACTGAAGGGTCCTTGGTGCTCTCTGATCTTGGTGGTTTTCTTGCAGATGTTTCATGACCCAACTAAGTAACATCATGAGTGCCAGTAGGCTATGGGGTTTCCTCTCATTTTAGAATAGAATATAACCTAGAATATAAAATGTCCACTAGAATATTAAATGAGAGCAAACTTCACTCCCTAGTAGCGCTGATGATGTTACCTAGGTTGGTAATGAAACATCTGCAAGAAAACAAGCAAGCTCAGAGAGCACCAGGGACCCCTCAAGGAAGGTACCGATAGAACCTGGCCTCAGGGCATCAACGGTGACTAAAATAGGAGCTGTCGCGTAGTGAAACATTTGCTTTCCATCATGACTAAGAAGGAGCAAAATCTTCCCTGACTTGTATTATGATTGTAAAAGGAGATAAACTAACATATTTCCTAATATTTGAATGGGAGACAATTAAGAAATCCCAAAATGTAGGCTGCATTTCACTACTGGAGGAAGGCAATGGTTGATCCTTCCCTTGTCATTGCCAAGAAACTTACTCAAAGATGTCTATATAGTCAGCGGAAATTGAGACTGGTGGTATTTATCTTAATCTTTCCATTCCAATTGACCTCTAAAGAATACAGTAATATCTATAAATAATACGTCCATCAGAGAAATAAATGGCAGTAGGTGGGTTGCATTTCTTGGATCTGGAAGCCTTATCTCAGGTTCCTACTCTAGGATCTAACCCTGCTTCCCCATTCCTCATGGCCTCCACAGTAGATGCAAGAAATACTATTGAGATTTAATATTACCTGCAGAGTAGACTTCCAGGTTGGAACTTCAAGTTCTTGAGATGTTCCTCAAGTTCTTGAGATGTTCTTCAAAGCTTGGGCACACCCCAAGATAACCTGCTGGACAGCAGTTCTGGTAACTGTATTTTATGGAAGATGCAAATAGTCTCGTGTAACTGATGCTTTTGATACAGGAGTATCTACTAATAAATATCTCTGTTTGTTTGATCGACCAACTGATTTTAATGGATTACTGTAATTAGTACTTAAAATCAGTGGTCACATCATCCATTCTCAGTTTAGGGGGCTCTAATGACCTGAAGGAAGTCTAAAATCTTGCAGTTTTATTATATATAAAAATACTGTGCTTATTGATAGAAGAAAATCCTTCTTTTAAGATATTGGGGTGATTATTATTATTTTTTTGTAATTTTCTATACTTAATTGCTAATAAATTAGATTCCAAATTACTTTTAAAAGAAAGCTTCCTTTATCCATATGCCTCCATTGCTCAAGGGGTATCATTACAGATTCATGCAGGGAAGCTTCAGAACTTAATTGGTTTAACCGAGTAACATTTGTCTTCCTTTCTTTGAGTCAGAAAAAATCTACTACTTGTTCACAAAAATATCGCTCAGAGCCTTGATTGAGTTGAATTCCCTTCCTGGCGATTATATTCATGTCCTTTTCTTGGCAAGGATAGGCAAATAGTTTGTCACCGCTTTTTTTCTGGGACATTTTTCAATTTCCAGGCTAGTCTAAATGCTCACGTACCATCAACGTTCCCACTGAGAAACCCAACCAAAGCAAGGACGGTGGAAGCGATCCAATCTATGAATGCAAAACTTTATTGAGAACATCATTTCGGCACTGATGAGAGCAAAACCAGATCTAGCTATTCCCCACACAAGCCCACATAATTAAAGTATAGGATTCATTCTCCCTTCCCCTATTAATGCAGGTCACATTGTCCAATGGCGTTTCATTGTATTGTTATGAGAAAAAGTCTTTGACTTTGGTGAACACCTGCCAAAGTGTCCTTGGCTCTCACAGCTTGTCTCCTTGGTATCTGCAGCCTACATTCCATCTCACCCTTCCCTCCCCCCTGGTTCGTTGGCAAACTGAGAAGCGACAGTGGTTGCAACAGCATAAGCACACTTCGAACTTGACACGCGCATTTAATTCTTCCACATAGTCCTGGGGATTTTTATAAGAAACCAGAAAATATATCGAGCGTCGAAATGTCTCGGTTTGGCCTTAGACCAACTTTCATCGTAACAAATCAAATCTGCCCGATAACGTTTTGTGGAATATATAGTCTTTTTCCCAACCGCCTATAAATTCTTTCAGAAATGGTTTCCTTTTCTTCTCTGCAGGAGCAACTGTTGAAAGCACCCTGGGAAATGTTAATATTAAGCCGGAAATGTTTGCACCATCTGAGACAAAGCTGCCTGATGTTCATTTTTATTACAAGTAAGTAGAAGAATGAATCGCTTGATTCTTCGTTCTCCTTTGCAATCTGCAGAGGAGGGAATGTGAAAATTCAGGAGAAACTGACACTCTCATCAAGGACCAAATTAAATAGTCAGGAGGCATCATAATTTGTTTGGACTGTGAATGTTATAACCCCCCCACCCCCCCACCCCGTAATATCATGCTTTCTTTCTTTCTTCTCTCTATGGCTACGTTCTGTTTGGCATCAAACTAATCAAGGAGAGAAGCAACTTTTCTTTTATTTATTTCATCAAGCATGCGTTAGATAAGTATATAAGTATATATACTTATATAAGTATATATATGATATAAGTATAAATATGATATAAGTATAAATATGAATACATGAAATGAATACGAATAAAAGGGGACATTAGGACAGGGACGGAAGGCACGCTGGTACTCTTATGCACGCCCCTTACAGACCTCTTAGGAATGGGGTGAGGTCGACAGTAGACAGTCTTAGGTTAAAATTTTGGGGGTTTGGGGAAGAAACCACAGAGTCAGGTAGTGCATTCCAGGCATTGACCACTCTGTTGCTGAAGTCATATTTTCTGCAATCGAGTTTGGAGCAGTTTACCTTGAGTTTGTATCTATTATTTGCTCGTGTATTGTTGTGGTTGAAGCTGAAGTAGTCGTTGACAGGAAGGACATTGTGGCAGATAGTTTTATGTACTATCCTTAGGTCAGACTGAAGTCGGCATAGTTCTAAGTTGTCTAAGTCCAAAATTTCAAGTCTGGTGGCATAAGGTATTTTATTGCGGGTAGAGGAGTGGAGGACTTTTCTCGTGAAATATCTCTGGACTCTCTCGGTTGTGTTTATGTTCGATATGCAGTGTGGGTTCCAGACAGATGAGCTGTATTCAAGAATTGGTTTGGCAAAAGTTTTGTATGCCCTAGTTTGCAATTCAATATTACTTGAGAAGAAACAATGCAAGATTAGGTTAACAACTCTTAATGCCTTTTTGGCAATGCTGTTACAGTGAGCTCTGGCACTTAGATCGTTTGAGATGAGTACTCCAAGGTCCTTGACAGAGTGAGGGTCGTCTACGAGGGTCATATCTGTCCAGCTTGTATTTTGGGTTCTGATTTTTTTTGCCAGTGTGTAAGAAAGAGCATTTGTTGGTTGAGATTTGGAGTTGCCAGTTGTTTGGCCATTCTGACACATAGTCAAGGTCTTTTTGTAGGGTAGCAGCATTGTCAGTGGTGTTGAATAGTTGTACATCATCAGCGTTTTACATCATCCGCAAAGAGATGTAAAGGGGTAGAGCTTGACTCAAGAGTATCTTTATTGCCAAATCTTACAGCTGCTAATAAATAGACTTAGGATAACTTTATCGCCACTTTGAATGTGCACTAATCGGCATACATTAAAATGAAACTTCATTGCATTCAGCTCTCAGAGGGTCTCCACTTCCAATATACATTACATAAACATGACTAAATAAATTAATTAATACAAAATTATGCATATACCCACACATATTAATATGACAGAGAGAAACAACAGGATGTATACATGTAGATGGCTAGAAAAATGAATCTTGCGAGTTTACCAGACGGATGGATGGCCAAAGGAATAAAGCTGTTACAGAATCTGGTCGTCCTGCTAGAAATACTTTGAAACCTCCTCCCGGAGAGAAGCAACAGGAACAGACTGTGAAGTGGGTGTGTGGAGTCATTATTATAAAATATTATAAAAACCGGCAATCACTTCATAAAGCATCCAGCCAAAGCTTCATTTGTAGCTGAGACAAGCATAGGAGAAGACACCTTCTCCCACCCAAAACAAGAAATTGAAGCTGTCAACATCCCAACCAAAGCAGGCACCTCGTTTTTCACCGCAGGAGGCCGAGAACTCTGCAACTCTCTGGCTAACACCTGGAATTCTTTTTTCTCCTTTTTTTTTGCCCAGGTCTTCGGGAGCTTCGGCCACTTGTGAACACGGGCGTGCGTCTGTTGTGACGATGAGGTGCAACCCCACGAAACTTGGCCAGGGAGAAATCTCAGTTCCCAGGTATGTGTTAGGACGAGAAACTCGAGCGGAGACCTCTCGGCAGGTGTCCATCCTCCTGGATAATTTCATATGTTTCAGATTCACGTGCCATTCTTTCAGAAGGTTATTGGAAGAAGCGTCTGTATGATTGGTATCACCTTCAATTTAAGTGAAATCTGGAGAGCCTCTTGAGTGGGCTTCCTCTACCATTTTGGGCCACGGAGCCTTCTGAAAAATCTGACAATAATCCCTGGGCTTCTTCTGAGAAAAATGTATTTCATTGCCTAAAAATAAAATGCACAAAGGAAACTACTTACTCTCAGTGATCAAAATATTAAAAATAATTCAAATAACATTAGATAGTGAGATATATTCAGGTTACCTGAGTGGTGCGAGGTGGAGCTCTCGCCTCACAATCAGGAGGCTGTGAGTTCGTTCCTAGGTAGAGGCAGATATTTCTCTCTCTGGGCACAATGAATATATATCTCCTGAATATAACTCCGCACTGGTGACAGGAAGGGCATCTGGCCAGTAAACACTCAGCTCCATTCAGTTGCCCAGACTCCACCCCGCAAGGGATTATGGGGTCATTAAAAGAGGATGATAATATATTCAGGTTACAAAACATTTTTGGAGTCATGCATCAATTACTTTGTTGCCTACGTTCAAAACAAGTAGTCCTTGGCCTACGACCGTTTGTTCAGTGACGGTGCTGAATGAATGATAGTTACAACCAGTCTTTGGAATTCGGGCAGTTCCAGCACCTCTGCAGTCATGTGCTGCATCCCTTAGCAATGGAAATCCCAATTGATGTCGTAGGTTGAGAACTCCTCGTAGTGAATGAAAAGCTGAGTTTTAGTGTCTACGGAGATCTTCAGTCATCCAGGTCATGCTTGTCCCAAAAGTGTTTTTTCAAGAGGCAGCTGCGTTTTCTTGGTTCCCAACCCCCCCCACCTCGAAAATACTACGCTTCTCATTCAAGAGAAGTTGCGAACTGAAGAAGCCTCTGGGATGAGAAGTGAAATGTTTTCAAGGGAAAAAAAAAAAACCAAGGAAGTCCACTTGCCTTTTGAAAAAGCACCTTTGGGTCTAAATGTAATGAAGAATGTAATGAAAATAAAAGGCTTCACCTTTTCCCCATCCAGGTTCACCAATGCCTTGAAATCTATCCGCAGAAGCCATCTTAAAAACCTCTGGTCTAGAACACCAAGCTCCTATTCTTCTTCTTCCTAACAAATTTCACTCTTACTCTGTGGGGTTTTGCTTCATTTGTCTGTTCAGCCGGAGAGGCTCTTTTGATGGTGCAGGTTTGTCCTCCGAGCCTGCGGGTCGGTTTATGAGCGTTTCGTTACCAGGTTAAGTAACATCTCCAGCGGAGTTCAGGGAATGTCAGTGTCCGTGTTCTTCTGTTTATAAGGGCTTCAGGTGTGGGTGTGTCAAGTGAGGGTCTTGTGCAGGGTCGGGTTTCAAAACCCGCCACGACCGGTTCGCTCATGGGCGCGTGCGCGCACTCATCCACATCTGTGACGCTTCTGCGCATGCACAGAAGTGTCCGGGCGGGTGGGCGGAGCCTCCCGCCATCGTCGCTACAGGTTTACCCGATCCGGGGCGAACCGGTAGCAACCCACCACTAGTCTTGTGACAGTCTTGTGACCGTCACTTGACACACCCACATCTGAAGCCCTTATAAACAGAAGACTTGCACTGGCATCAGTGCTGAAATCCAGTTTTTTTTACTACCGGTTCTGTGGGTGTGGCTTGGTGGGTGTGGCTTGGTAGGCATGGCAGGGGAAGGATACTGCAAAATCCCCATTCCCTCCCCACTCCTGGGGGAAGGATATTGCAAAATATCCCTTCCCACCCCACTCTGGGACCAGCCAGAGGTGATATTTGCCAATTCTCCAAACTGCTCAAAATTTCCGCTACCGGTTCTCCAGAACCTGTCAGAACCTGCTGGATTTCACCCCTGACTGACATCCCTAAACTCCGCTGAAGATGTTTAGTTTAGTTTAGTTTGGATTTATATACCGCCCTACTGCCGAAGGACTCAGGGCGGTGAACAGCCAAAAGATAAAACACACATAATATAAAATTTAAAAAACAATTTAAAACACATTAAATAAATTTGGCCCATACTGATTAAAACACCCCTATTTTTAAAAACAAATTAAAATTAAACAATTAAAAGGAGTTAGGCCAGCCCAGCCTGCTGGAATAAAAAGGTCTTGAGGGCACAGCGGAAAGTGCGTAAATCCGGGATCCTCCGTATCTCCGGGGGGAGCTCGTTCCAAATGGCAGGTGCCCCCACAGAGAAGGCTCTCCCCCTGGGGGCCGCCATGCGACACTGTTTGACCGATGGCACTCTGAGGAGCCCCTCTCTGTGGGAGCGTACTGGCTGGTGAGAGGCTATCGGTGGCAGAAGGCGGTCTCGTAGGTATGTTACTTAGCCTGGTAATGAAATGTTTGGAAACCAACCCACAAGCTTGGAGAACGAACGTTCACTCTCATCCTACACCTGAACTGCAGATATTCACCACTATTGCAAAGGATCTTTTGAATTTGACGTGCAGTTTAGCGGAGACCAAACGAGACCCCTTTCCTTTACGTAGTTCCACCAACCTGAACTCTTAACCATGTACAAACTAAACTCCAAACACTGCACTTACGGATCGATGCTCGCAAAAGAGCAGCCTCTGGCATGTCAGAATCCAAAGAGAAGACCGTGTGATGGAGAATTGAATCCTCGTTGGAGGATGCCCTGAAAGCACGCTGAGTAACGAAGTAGAAGACAGCCCATTAAAGAAGCAGAGTGCTCATAATATATTTATCTTGGACGTAGGAGTTGAACAGACCATAGTTTTGCGTTTTCGGAACATCGTTAATGGCCAACTTGGCAATGGGTGTGGGGTTTTTTTGCAGTTCATGGACTGATGGTGTGACAGGGTGGAAAAACCTCTGTGAGAACCAATTAAGTTAACAATTTTCTCCCTTCTGAATGCATCACTCTAACCCAGCCAGCGTTTCTCCTCCAGTTCTTGTCCTGCAGGTACCTGTGATGGGTGTATGTTCTACTTCTTGTGGGAAAGCGCAGAAGCGTGTCCCATGTGCACCAAGCAGGACTATCACGAGATCGAGGGTGCTTGTAAAAAGGGGCACCAGGTAATTAACCGGTTACATCTTTGGTGGCAGCATCAACACAGGTTGTGTAGTTAGACATTATGCTTCTGGTCTTATTAAAAATACTTAATTCTGTTACAAGTTTGGGTAGGCCATGGGGGACCTCAAACATATCGCCAATGACCTTGATCCATCACTTTTTCCTCCCACGAGAAGAGCTGAAACATAAGATCCTTCAAAATACGAGAATATACTAAGACTTAAAATCAGTACAAAGTACGAAGTACGAAGAGAGGAATAATAGGGCAGTTGTTGAAGACGATTGTTTACAAACCATCATTTTGATCACTAGCTGGTTTTATGTAGACCGCTAGGCCTGGGGATAAAAATGGGTGTGGATGAATGCTGATGGGGATATCTTGAATTCAAAAGAGAGGGTGAGAAACCCTCTTAAATGTGGCCATAGAGTCAAGATGTATAAAATAATACATAGATGGTGAAAGGTATTATTTGAATGGAAGATTTAGTCCCAAATGACAAGGACTTTGTCTTCCATCTATGGGGATTTTCAGCCATCCCAACTCATGGTTGTCCCAAAGGTGCTTTTTTTTCAAAAGGCAACTGGGTTTTCCTTTGTTTTTCTTTTCCCTTGCTTCTCATCCAAGAAGCTTCTTCAGTTCTGGAGAACTTCTGAAGAACTTCTCTAGAACTGAAGAAGCTTCTTGGATGAGAAGCAAAATGTCTTCAAGGAAAAAACAAAGAAAAACCCAGTTGCCTTTTGAAAAAAAAAGCACCTTTGGGACAACCATGAGTTGGGATGGCTGAAAATCCCCATAGATGGAAGACAAAGTCCTTGTCATTTGCAAAGCTTCTTACAGAGAATGCTAAGCATTCTCTGGCCCAGGCAGGAAAGTACTTCTTCAGCAAAAAGATACCTTCAATAACATGTAGATTAGTTCAACTTCTAGAAGAAATACCTTGAATGGGAGGTCTTGCTTAGAAACATAACAGAGAGGAGTCCATTAAATGTGCTGTACAATGAGGAAGAGAGGAAGGGGGAAAAACTAGTTGTATTCCTATCCTGACTATTTACTTACAGTGGAATTATTTGTCCTCAGTGGAAATCATAGACGATGGTTGATTAGATCCTGAAGGTCCTAGGATGTCTCACTTTGACATTAAACTATTAAAATAAAAACTTATCTACATATATATAATGTACATGCATTATTTCTTAGGTCTTCCTTAGCTTTCATGGGATTGACTGATTCTGTCATTGCTTCAACATAAGCTCTGAAGAACTGAATGGAATTGCCTCCTAGGAAAAAAATCAAATGTATAAAATTGATTGATTATTGATGGGTTGACTGATTGACTGATTCATTCATTCATTCTCTCTCTCTCTCTTAGGAAACCTTATATGTCTGGAATGAACCCAAGTTATGTATAAAAGGGGTTTCCTTGCCTGAAAAAAAGATTATAATCTGTGAAACGGTGGATTTCTGGCTGAAAGTCGGTGCAGGGGTCGGTGCCTTCACAGGAGTCCTGCTCATTGCCTTAACTTGTTATTTCTGGAAGAAAAATCAGAAGTGAGTCCTAGACGTCCTTTTAAGGAGATATCTAGTTGATTGGCTGATTTTTGCAGAGTTAAATCCATCAGTCCTGGCTTTTTCTGGCTTTCTAGATCGATTGTTCTCAGCTGACAGAATTTCCAGGGTGCCTCTTTTTATCCTTTCCCCCCAAATTACAAAGTACAAATAGCACACATGCTGTATGTGACAATATATATATATACATACATACATACATACATACATACATACATACATACATACATACATACATAAAATTAGCAGTTCATTGAAGGCACCAAACAGACTCCGTAGTAAAGGTGTCCAACCATGGCAACTTTAAGACTTGTGGACTTCATCAGGAATTTTGACACACATGAGTTCTGTCTTAACTTTAGGAAGAGATAATAAAGATTCTTTTATTATTTAGTTTAAAAAGAATTAAGAAAATGAAACAAAAACTAGCCATTTCTACAACAACAAACCTATCTAATCGGTAAAACCCAAGCTCAAAGTTTCGTTTACTCCCCCTCTCTCCGCACCTCGAGCAGAAAGTCCAGAAGCGGTTTCCAAGAAGAAAGAAAAGTAATTGTGGTGTTTGTTTGTTTTTTTAAATTTAATCAAAGCAGTCAGTTTAGCCACAACGTTGCTTCTGTCTGTATTGGTTCCCACAGATTGGAGTATAAATATTCAAAACTGGTGATGACGGCCAATTCAAAAGAGTGCGAGCTTCCGGCTGCTGATAGCTGTGCTATCATGGAAGGGGAAGACAATGAAGAGGAAATTGTGTATTCGAATAAACAGTCGTTGCTAGGAAAACTCAAGTCCTTGGCCACCAAGGTAAGCGTGGGAGGGAGAATTTCTGACTGTGGAATTAATACAGCAGAATAAGTTAGTGGGAAATGCGCATGGATTGCCAAAACAGGTAGTAGAACTCCTCTGACAGCCATTTGTTTAGTGACTGTTTGAAGCTGCAACAGCAGCGAAAAATGTGTCTTACGACTGGTTCTCCCCCTTACGACTGTCGCTAAAATGGCAGCATCCCCACGGTTGGGGATCTTCTGGGGTCACGTGATGGCCATTGGGACCTTCTCTGTTGGCTTCCAACAAGCAAAGTCAATAGAGAAAGTAGGAATTGCTTAATGACTGTGATTAATCTAACAACCGTATTGGTTAATTTACCAGCCGTGCCAAAAAGATCATAAAATCTGTCGTGATTCACTTAACAACCATCTCACTTAGCAATGGAAATTCCCGTCTCAATTGTGGCCACCTGTACAGAATATTTCATCAATAAGACTGGTTATTGCATGGGGCCAATTTTGTAGGAACACGTCATCTATTCTCTTTCATTATTATTTCTTACGGTACAAATCTTGTCTCCCTTTCTTCTGTTTTTTCCCTCTTGCTCATTGGTTATTTTTCCCTTTTTAACTTGAGGGAGATGGAACTGTTCCTTCCTGTAAAACTATCGTGTCCCCCATCCCTCTAAACTTCAAAGCAGCTTCCAGAAAATCTTTGGAAAGCTATTTAACATTAGACAACTAAGCATATTCAAAATGGAACGTTTTAACAAGAAATGAGTGAGGGGAATAAAAAGTTTTGCCTGAAAGATAATTGTTTCCCCCCCAGGTGTAGTAAGTATGCAAACTAGATACAAAATGTAATATGTAGAAACTCAGTCCTCACACACAGATAGACACACATTGTTATATGTGAGCTTAGATATTTTTGTTGTATTTTCCCTATTATTAAGAGCTGTGGTAGCACAGTGGTTAGAATGCAGCATTGCAGGCTAATTCTGCCCACTGTCACCGATTGTCACTGGCTCAAGATTGCCTCAGCCTTCTGTCCATCCAAGGTGGGTCAAATGAGGACCCAGATTGTTGGGGGGCAAGAGGCTGACTCTGTAAACCGCTCAGAGAGGGCTGTAAAAGCACTGTGAAGCGGCATATAAGTCTAAGTGCTATTGCCATTTTGTAGTCTGGCTTTGTAGTACACTACATTAAGGAGGGGCCCTTTGCTCAGTTCTGCTGGCTGGATCAGTGACCACCTTCAATCTTCTTTCTTTTCTGACCTAGGAAAAAGAAGACCGCTTCGAATCTGTCCAGCTGAAATCCTCCAGATCTCAAAATATATGAAGGTTCGGTTTTGCCCGTTGAGCCCAATTTCTATTTCCAGGGGACCAATTCTTCAAACTCGTGCTGGACCACATTGGAGGACTGGCTTCCTGTGTGAGAAACGTTGAGCGATGGACAAAGAAAGCAACAGAGAAAGAGAAGAAGAAGAAGAAGAAGAAGGAAAAAAAAAAAGAGGAGATACTGCCTTATTGTGAGACTCAGTTGCCAAAAGCAAAGCCAGCCCTTGGCATCCTACAGCTGGCTCAACTCAGGGAAGGAGGAACCATGATGGAGTACCCCGTTGGGTTGGCTCCGAGGCAGAAAATCTGCATGGCGTTTCCTTAAAATATACAGTAGCAAGAAACAGACAGTTTCCTGCCCTCCCTGCTCCCTCGGTTCCCATCCTCCGTTCCAGAACGTTGCTTCACTCTGTCCTGGGAGAGAAGGTCCTACCTGACGCCAGGTGGAGACCTACCTGCGCGTTGCTCTGGCATGGCCGATGCTGCTTCAAGCTCCCTGCTGTCGCCCACATGAAACCGCTTGAGTCTTCGAACGTGACCACCAGGCTCCCCCCCCCCATGAGCCGTGGGTTGCCGCGTTGAGTTTTCGTCTTGAAATTGAAACATCCGTCAAATGCTTGAAACGGAAGAATGGTTCCAGTCTCAACTTTGGAAAGGAACGTGCTTGACCTCGAAAGCGATGGTGGGGTCTTGGGGAAGACTGGGAATCTAGTTTCTCTCCAGCAGAACCAGCTTCTTCTGGTTGCAGATACGTCCAGGAGGTGGACCACACTCAAGGTTAACTATGTCGCTCTCTACATGGTTATCCAGAAGGGCAACCCCTACTCCTCCGTCTTCGGTGGGACTTCTTCCCTAACCAGAATGATCTGAGAGTTGGTGCAGCTCACACCCACACCCAAACCCATTGGCTTCACACAACCCCTTTCTTACGGGGATCCCTTTTCCCCGTGATTTGGTTCGCTTCGCTTACACCTTCATCAATCCTGTGCACACTCTTTTCAAGGGTGGTGTGTGAGACATGGGGCTGTTCAGGACCTGGGTTTGTTCATGAGGAATTAGCTGCCTTTTAAAGGACCGATGGCCCAGGGCTACCAAATGTAGGACCTTCGTGTCCACGGTCACCTGAAAAGTTTGAATGCAGAAGGGCCGTTTTTGGTCTATGCACACCTTTCTAGAAGTAGAGGGAAATAATCAGTGCAAATTGGGCTTCAAAAAAAAAAAAGGGATATAATCTTATTTCTTTTGCACGCTTTTTTCTGGGGGTGCCCTCCCTGTTGCAACAGAAGAAATATTCAAGGGGAACAAAGGCAGAAATTGGGTATAAGAGCTGAGGGGCTGAAAGGGAAAGAAAGAAGGAATAACTCATGGATCATAAAAGCTTTTTTTGTTGCTGCAGGATCATTTCCCATCAGGTGAGAAGCCCAGGGCTGGAAAAACCATTTCGGTCTTCCTCCATTCTTCTACCGAATTCCTCCCCCATGTCAAAAATTAGCCATAAGGATTTCCTATAACCTATCACGTTTTTTTCAGAATTTCCGACATAAAGGCTGTCGATGCAAAAATATCCATCAGCATAAAACCAGGGAGATAAATTCTATGAAAGAAACAGTATGTTTTATAAACGTATAGTTAAATTATGGGTGAACCGTGGACGGGGATTTTAAATGAGTTCTAATAGGTTCTAATGATATATATATAACTGGGTGTATAATATAAAGCACTGAAAAAATGAAGTGAGAGTACTGTAGTGAGGGTTTTTTTAAAAGAAAAAAGAAAAGAAAAGAAAAGCCATTCATTTGCTGGGGTTTATGGTAGACGTTTGATTAATAATCCTTCTCTGAATGAAACCGAAATCTGAAACTGTATACAGGATTCGGAATAATTATTCCAGAGTCCCCAATACTGGATTCTGAAGATTTATTAATCTTTCATAGGAGAAAGATAATTAAATTTATCAAATGTGCTGCATACAGTGGCAGAATATAAGATTTCTCCTTCTTTCTGCGTGGGGGGGTCACAGAAATTCAGAGACGGTTCGCAATTCCTCATTGTCAAAATTGTGTTGTGCCTGACAAACACAGGCACACAAAAGATGCAAAAGCAAACAACAACAAAAAAAACCCAGCACCTTTTCTTTACTTTTGAATGCTTGAAGAAAACAATCTTGTGCATTTTTAGTCAGAAGTAGGTTGCAAGGGAGACTTACTCCATCGTGGCTATGCATTGGATAAATAATTATAAATGCCCTTTTTTTTGTATATTTGGCTATATTTTGCCTATAACGTTTTCTTTATTTATTTGCTGTAACAGTTTGGGATTCCTCAACTTATGACCACAATTGAGCCCAAAATTTCCATTGCTAAGAGAGAGAGAGAGAGAGTTCAGTGAGTGTTTTCCTATTTTATGACCTTTCAGGCCGATGTTGTTAAGCGAATCACTGCAGTTGTTAAGTTAGTAGCACGGTTGTTAAGTGAATCTGGCTTCCCCCTTGACTTTCCTTGTCAGAAGGTCGCAAAACGGGATCAGGTGACCCCCCCCCCTTCCCAGGGACACTGCAACCGTCATAACTGTGAGTCAGTTTCCAAGAGTCCGAATTTTGACCAGGTGACCTTGGGGAAGATGCAGCGGTCGTAAGTGTGAAAAACGTCACTTTTTTCCCCAGTGCTGTTGTAACTTCAAATGGTCACTAAACGAACTGTTGTAAGTCAAGGACTACCTGTACTGCTCTTTACTTGATGGGCATTGTAGTGTCATTATTATTATTATTATTTCTCTGTGGAACATCTAAGGGACATCCTTCTTGGTTTAAACAGTAGAAGTTGGCTTTTTGAATAATTTTGGTTGCATTGCTAAAATGTGAATGGGCTATTTTGAAAGTGTGGGGCCCAAGCAGTTAGAACAGAGGCCTTCAGACTTGGCAGCTTTAAGACTTCTGGGCTTCAACTCCACAAGTCTTAAAATTGAAGTCCACAAGTCTTAAAGCTGCCAAGTTTGAAGACCTCTGAGTTAGAAGAACCCTCTTGAAGGGCTTCAAGAGATGCTTGAGGAGCGTCTGAAGATCAGGGCTTTCCTCGGAAAGTGATGGCAGCCCAGTTGTACTGCTCAGGAACACTTTCCCCCTCATACTTCGGTTTTGTGGACTCCAGTTGTGGTGTGGGAAGAGTGTGAGGAAACTGCCACCTCAGGAAAGATGGTTTTAGAACAAAGAAACAACCGAATAGGAGCCTTGGCTGTCTCATAACTAATCCGGGAGAACAGAGGCCTTCAAACTTGGCAGCTTTAAGACTTGTGGACTCCAACTCCCAGGATTCTCCAGCCAGCATAGCAACCATAGGCTACCCAGAAGAATGTTCTTCTCCTTCGAAAGCAGCGTCCTCAAAAGAGTTGTAGCTTTAACAAACCCATTTGGGGGTCACCCGAGTCTTTAAAGCAGCCGCATCACTTTTTTCCAAGAGGTCCCATGGCTGCAAGAGGCCCCTAGCCTGCCTTCATCGGTTTTGAAGGGTGCCCTCTGGCCCCACACTTCCTCCCACATGTGGTTTCTGAGATGCTTAAATGGGCGTGTGGCACCACAGAGAGAACTCAACCGAAGAAGCTTCTCGGATGAGAAGTGAAACGTTATCAAAGAAAAACAACAACTCCAAGGAAGTCCAGTTGCCTTCTGGAAAAGGACCAGGACCTCCTGGATGACGGAGAATCTCCATGGACCTCAGAGAGAAAGGTGTTGGTTCTGGATCAGATGCTCACCTGGTCATTCCTGGGTGTTCAGATATCTGCTGAAGAGAAGTTCATCCTCGCCACAGGAGAATTTGTCCCCTTGTTTTGTCTTGGTTCTATCTTTCTTGGTCCTGTCGATTACTTTCACTTCTTTCTTAGATGCACATCTCCCTCTTTTTCCCCAGATGTTCAAGGCACCATCTATAACATCCTCTCCTCCAGCTTTTTCTCCTCTGCAACAACAGGTAGACTGGGTCGAGAGAGGTTAACTGGATGAGAGGTTGCATGGCTATGGCTGGACTTAAACTTGGGTCTTCCTGGAGGTTCAAATATCTACTGAAGAGAAGTTCATCCAAGCCACCGGAGAATTTGTCCCCTTGTTTTGGCTTGGCTCTATCTTTCTTGGCTCTAACTGTTGACGTCTTTCACTTCTTTTTTAGGTGTACATCTCCCTCTTTTTCCCTAGGACCATGATGGCAAACCTATGGCACGCGTGCTAGAGGTGGCACACAGAGCCCTCTCTGTGAGCACGCGCGCCGTCACCAGCCAGCTGCTCTTCTGGTTTCTGAAAACGGCCTGAAAATGGCCCGAAAAACAGCCTGAAAACAGTCTGGAAAATGCCCTGAAAATGGCTCGAAAACCAGTCTGAAAATGGTCCGAAAAACAGCCTGAAAATGGCCCAAAAATGGCCCGGAAAATGGCCCCCAAAATGGCCAAAAAACAGGCATGTGCACGCCAGCCATCTGGTCTTCAGGTTTCTGGTGCTCCGGCGTGTGCATATGCACACATATGCATGTGTGTTCCAGTTTGGGCACTTGGTCCAGAAAAGGTTCGCCATCACTGCCCTAGGAGTTCAAGGCACCACACATAACACCCTCTCCTCCATTTTTTCTCCACTGCAACTACAAATTGAGAGAGGTTAACTGGATGAGAGGTTGCACGGCTAAGGCTGGACTCGAACTTGGGTCTTCCCAGCCTTGGTCTGACACTTTCCTTACTACACCACCCTGGTTGATGCTGGTTTATCTAAACTGGGGGTCTCCAACCTTGGCAACTTTAAGAATTGTGGACGTCAACTCTCAGAATTTAAGACCTGTGGACCTCAACTCTGGGAGTTGCCGGGGTTGGAGACCCCTGATCTAAATGATCAATGTTGGATTCTGTATCTTTCTATTTGTGGCATGCAGAGGTACGATACGCTCTATGCACCTTAAAAGGCAAACGTCTCTACTTTCCCCCCCCTTTCTATGAAGACCAAAACATGAATTGTTTCTAATTTCTCTCAAGAGCATCTCTTTTACATGCTTGATGGGGGTATAGTCAGAACCTGTGGCCTCTGGGCAGGGGTGGGCTGCTGGGGGGTTCGGGAGAACTTCTAGCTAAGATTCTGTGCAGTTTGGAGAACCCCCAAATCCCACTCCTGACTGATCCCGCCCACTCGCCCCTCCCCTCCCAGGAGTCCCCACGCGGCCCATTTTGGATGCAGATAAGTGCAGAGCACGCACAGAGCCTCCGGGAGAGTGAAAAACAGGCTTACCAGAAGTTCGGGAAGAGCGGAAACAGGCCCCTTTTCAGCCTCCGGAGCCTGGGGAGGCCATTTTTGCCCTCCTGGAGACTCCCCTCCCCCCGGCATGGTGCAGGAGGCCAACTAGCCACGCCCACCATGGCCACGCCCACCCAGCAACCGGGCAGAGAACCCCTTGCTAAAATTTTTGAAGCCCACCTCTGCCTCTGGGTGAGGTTGAACACGTTTTGCAACAGGGCTGTCGGAAGCCAGGGGAAGTTCAGCAAAGCAAGTGGCTCATAGAACACACCTTGACACCGTGCACAAACACAATTCTGCAAAATATGTTATTTGCCTCATTGTGCAGCGAGGTGCGAGGTGTTACGGTGTCACTTGTCCCCTCCTCAACAAGTTGATTTATGTTCAGCAATTTTTCGGAAGGAACACATTCTCCCACTTCTTACTTTGTAATACCTCTGGGACACAAGGTGTACCAAATAGAGGTTCTCCGTGTGGTAGGAGAGCATGCCAGACAGAAACGTTCCGTCTCCCTGCCGTATCTGAAGAGAACAGCCAAACATCTGCCAGAAGCTTTGAACGTTTGGCCAACTGAAGTTTAGCAGGTGGTTCCACTCGGTTTACTTTTAATTTGCTTGGTAGCGGAGTTTAGCTTGGCAGCATCTTGACTTTGAATGGGTTTCAGAGCAAGCTCTTAGAGTGAGGTGGAAATACGGAGGGCAGGGATGGCTAAGCTTTCTGGTGTCGCGTGCCAAAAGCGGGGGGAGCGGGGGGGTTCACGCGCACATGTGCCCATACCCATAATTCAATGCCCCGCACACCTCACAATCGTGTGCACGACCCCCCTCCGCGCTTGGCACATGACGGCAAAAAGGTTACCGGTGGGCCTGGTAGGCCCATTTTTTGCCCTCCCCAGGCTCCAGAGGCTTTCTTGGAACCTGGGGAGGGCGAAAACAGCCTTCCCCATCTCCCTGGAGGCCCTCCGGAGGCTGGAAATGGCTGGTTTCCCAACTTTCGGTGGGCCCGGAAGGCCTGAAAATCAGCTGGCCAGCGCACACATGCACGCTGGAGCTGAGCTAAGGCAATGCCCACAGATATGGCTCCGTGTGCCACCTATGGCACGCATGCCATAGGTTCACCATCATGGATGTAGCTACAGGTCACTCGCTACAATTTTCAATGAGGAATTTGAAGTGTTAGTAAGTGCACCAACATGTCTGTAAAGGTGTATTAACAGATGTTTCCATGAGACGTTCAGGAGGATCCAGTTTGGGAATTATTTGAAGGCAGTGATGGGACTTGGTTGAACTTCAAGACTGTCCCAGGCGCTGATGAGCCAATGAAAAGATTTTGTTAGTAAAATTCAGAATGTAGGTAGTCCTCGGCTTACGACCACAATTGAGCCCAGAATTTCAGTTGCTGAGTGAGAGACATTGACTAAGGGAGTTGTGCTCCATGTTATGACCTTTCTTGCCATTGTTGTTAAGCGAATCACTGCAGTTGTTGAGTTCGTGACACGGTTGTTAAGTGAATCTGTCTTCCCCATTGACTTTGCTTGTTCCAGAAGGTCGCAAAAGGGGATCACGTGACCCTGGGACACAGTGACCGTCATAAGTAGGAACCAGTTGCCAAGTGTCCGAATTTTAATCATGTGACCATGGGGAGGCTGCAATGGCCGTAAGTGTGAAAACTGGTCGTAAGTCACTTTTTTTAGTGCTGTTGTAACTTCAAACGGTCACTAAATGGACTGTTGTAAGTCGAGGACTACCTGTAGACATATAACTTTCGCATAACTGGAAAAGTAGCTCGGCCTGAAGGATGACATAATTTTGGGTGGGCTGGGAAATTATGAATGTCCAAGGGCGAATTATGGAAGCTTGATTTTAATGCAATTCCTTATGCTTCTCGGGTAATTAAGAAAGGGGTGGGGTTTTATTTTCAATATTTCTCCAGAAGTTTTAATTTAAAGACTTCCGAAATTGGCTTGAATGCCGATTCTGTGGTTGGAATGTCTGTTGTATCCCGTGTAGCCATATTGGTTATGAAATTGCTGCTATGAGTTCGAATGATGCGGAAGGTGGTTGCTTAACCTTTGGATTTCAACTAATAAATGTCAACCTTTATTGACCTAATTGGCCTGAAATTGTGTCTTTCTTCTTAATGTCCGTCAGTCAAATAGGGACCTAAAGGATTAATTTTCAGCATATCTCAATGCTTATAGACGTTGAGAATCATCGTAGCTTCCTTTCTTTATGCTATTATTCCATTTAAACCTCAGGAAGCTGAGTTTCTGAAGCAGATCAGGGAATGGACAGAAATGGAAGAAATACCAACTTTTGGTTAACTTAAAGTAATTTGCTTGAATTACGCTCCTGCAGAAGGCTACAGATGAAAATACTGCGCAATTTCACTAATTTAATGAAGCCTTATCTTTTTGGGAGAGCTGACAACCCGGGTTCGAGACCCGACCTCCCGTTCCTTGCTCCCACTCCTGCCCACCTAGCAGTTCAGAAGCAGGCAGATGCGAGCAGATAAATAGGTACCACTTTGGTGGGAAGAGAACAGCATTCTATATGCCTGAACTTATAGTCGTGGTGGCCACCTGACCACAGAAAATGTTTTTAGAAAATGTTGGGCCAAGAAACAGAGATGAACCCTATTGTTCTGACCCAGCTCCCCAAACACGACAAACCCTCTGACGTGAACTCAAAAGATTCCTTTATTAGAGGTGCCGGCAGCCCGGGCAAAAAGTTTCTCTCTCAGGCTAAGGAGTCCGGCTGGCCGGAAGATGAATAGTTGTCTGTTCATGCCTGCCTTTTGTCCCCAGAACTAGGGTGGGGCTTCTCTAGCAGTGGTGGCTCTTCCGTCCCAAGGACCGGCCCATAGATTTCCACTGCTCTCCTCTCCTCTGCCTTCCATGCATCCACGCGTCAAGCACTGGACCCAGCTGTTCCTCCTCTTCCCCATCAGCCACCTCCAGACCTGGGGGCTGTTGACTCTCCATCTGAGGGCTGACGGACAGCCCAGGATCTGCCTCTGTCTCTCTCTCTCTCTCTGCCAGCTCCATTCCCTCTTCCCCCTCGGAGCTCCCAGGTTGCCTTGATGCTGACTTTGACTCCCACGCCTCCTCCTCCTCCTCCGATTCGGCTGCTGGAGGGGCCGGTGGCCGATAGGCCACAACAACTGCCTCCTAAAGTTGGACATGACTGGACAGGGCTTTACCTTTTTCCTGGAGATTTAGCACCGTATCTCAGAGAATGGAATATAGTTTATTGACCAGCTAATTTGACGCAACACCATCATTGTCTTCACCCAGTTTCAAGGCCATCCTTTTCTCGCAACAGATTCCGCAAGGACAGAAGTGTAGCAAACCAGACAAAATTAGTCTTTCGCGGCAGTTTTCTACTATATCGTTGCTGAGCTGGTAATAACGTGACTCGGTTTGCCCTCCTCTGCGTGCAAAGTGATTGGATAAACCTGAAGGATATGTATGTATGTATGTATGTATGTATGTATGTATGTATGTATTTATTTATTTATTTATTTATTTATTTATTTATTTATTTATTTATTTATTTATTTATTTATTTGGAAAGAAGACAGACATGCTGGAAAATCTTTTCTGGTTTTATTATGGACGTCTTTAATGCTGCCATGAAAACCGTCTGTCGCACAGAATGTGACTATAATATACAACATAGAAATGCAATCTAAATTACAACAAGGAATTACAAAAAAAAAAAAAGTCTCTTGTTAGAAAGAAAGCCACCTAACATGGCAGTTTTACCATCCTTTCTCCCCCTCCCTCCGAGGTCAACATACGGGCACCACTATATGAGTCGCAGCTACTGATACACCCCTTAGAACGGTTATTCTCCGAAGACTCCTAAAGTTGTTCCGAAGAGAACAACACGATAAAGACTGTACAGTCCTCAAAAATAATTTATTAACACGGTTTCTAGAAAAGAAATGCTAGTCCTTTTAAAAGGTTCACTTTTTAATCCCAGGGTGCACAAGGAATGTGCTTTTCTCTCTAACCATCTAAGAATACAAAAGCCGGCTGAAGGGCTATAAGGAGGAGGTGGTGGAATCCACAACTTCTCTTCCGTTGCAGACCGTGGGGACGTAGACGTTTGCTGAGGCTGGAAGAGAAAGAAAGAAGGAAAAAAAAAACAGACTTTAGATGCTAGAGATGGCCACCAACAAGCTTCACATTTTTCAGGATCACAGCGGGATGTTTTTAAACCGAAGGGATCCTCCACGCATAAATATTTAAAAAGAAGGCAGGGCTTTGATCACACGGTCACCGATGCGATTTTGATTTGGTAGACTTCATGTCCTACCCCTTGGAAATCCAGGTGTCAGTGCTGAAATGATATTTAGAATAGAAACCAGGAGACAGTAAGTTCTAGTCCTGCCTTAGACGTGGAAGCTGGCTGGGTGATTTTGGGCCAATCACCAGGAGACTGGGAGTTCTAGTCCCATTTTAGGCATGGAAGTTGCTGGGTGACTTTGGCCAATCACCAGGAGACTGGGAGTTCTAGTCCACCTTAGGCATGGAAATTGGCTGGGTGACTTTGGGCCAATCACCAGGAGACTGGGAGTTCTAGTCCCGCCTTAGGCATGGAAGTTGACTGGGTGACTTTGAGCCAATCACCAGGAGACTGGGAGTTCTAGTCCCATTTTAGGCATGGAAGTTGGCTGGGTGATTTTGGGTCAATCACCACGAAACTGGGAGTTCTAGTCCCGTCTTAGGCATGGAAGTTGGCTGAGTGACTTTGGGCAATCACAGGAGACTGGGAGTTCTAGTCCCGCCTTAGGCATGGAAGTTGACTGGGTGACTTTGAGCCAGTTGCTCACTCTCAGCCCAACTTATCTCACAGGATGTTAGCATGGGAAAATAGAAGGGAGAAGGGGCATATGTTCACTGTCTTGAGTTATTTGTAAAAATAGCAAAGTCGAGATACAGCTAAATAAGTATTTGTGATATTTCGCTGTCTTGTATGACTTTCTGGGTGGCGAGAGAGAAGTGACCAGTGCCTCAATGAAGAGAACAGTCAAAGGAAGAAAAGGCTGGAGCAACTCTATTGAATTACCTTGGGAATAGCTGGTTCCTGTCCCACTGACACTGAACCTGTTGAGGTGCAGCCTGTGAGTGACCACATTCTTCTGCGGTTGGAAGAGAACGATATGCACTTTGGGGGCAAACAAGCAGCCCAGGACAACGAAGCCACTCAGGCTGACGGAGATGCACATGGTTGTGGTCTGCACCTACACGGAGGGGAAACAAAACAATGCATGGAAAAAGTTATTGCAAAATTAGAGACATCAGCAAAGGAGGGGCATGAATGCTCATTCCAGATGTTGCCGACAAAAGAATGAAAGATGGACACACTGCATCCAAGGTAGCCTTCTACTGTGTTTAGATGACAACTCCTCTCAGTGGCAACCTATGAGGTGGGAGGGCTCAACTAGCCATGGCCAACTCACCAACAGAACAACTCGCTGCAGGACAAAAGTTACACTAAGATCGAAGAAATTGGTGGAATAGAATCATTAAAGAAAGGATGCAAAAGGAAAGACAAAATGAAATCTGAATGACAAAAAATAAAATATTTTTAAAATTAATTTAAATAATGAAATGAAATGGTTGAATTGCCTCACAGAGAATTGGCCACAGTGAGTTGTTCCATGATGAGTTGGCAACAATGTGTTGACCGTGGCAAGTTGGCCGTGTTGAGTTGTCCCATTCCAGATGAGGATTTGATAGTCCTACCTGTCTCTTCCTTTGGGAACTTAATATCCAGAGGTTCATACTAAAAACCAAGGGGGATTGCCAATCTGACAGCTGCTGTCCAATAAAGCTGTAACCATTGCTAGTCTTCGGTGTCTACATAAATCATGGTTGGATGTCCTGGTTGCCTGTGATCAACCCCAAATTGCATCAATAGATCTAGAGCAATACAGCAGTCATGCTCTCACTTCTGAAGTCTATCATAGAGTTGAGTTATGGCCTACTATTTTCTTGCTGGCCCTTCTTCTTTCAGTTTATGGCAGACTGATATGGATGGGATCTATCTAGAGGACCAACGGAATTTCAGAGAAACCAGGGTCTTGGTGGGTGGAGACATCTACTTATTGGTACAAATGGAACTCGGAGTGAGGATGAATGACGTGCATTCTTGACTTTGTGTGTTTGGGTCAACGGGTGAATATTGGGGTTCTGCAAGGCTTTCTCATATTAAATCAAGGCAGTAAAATTTTAATTAGTGAAACCCGTCTATCAATTCAGTGCATCAATTCACCAAATCATTTCAACTAAATGAAGTGAACTAAATCCAGAATTCATTTTCGGTGATAAAAAGCTTTTAGGTGGGGTATGCAGAAAACTTAGTTTTCTAAATTGAAAAACAATGAATCAAACAGTTAAACAGATCAATCGGTAGCATTGAATTAATGTTAAAGAATTAGGATGAAATCCACACACTTCCAGCAGAACCAGTTTCAGTCTATCTTCATCTGTAGATGAAGGGAGCCCTGGTGACGCAGTGGCCAGAATGCAGCACTGACTGCCAGCAGTTTGATCCTGACAAGTTCAAGGTGGACTCAGCCTTCCGTCCTTCTGAGGTGGGTAAAATGAGGACCCAGATTGTTGGGGGCAACAGGCTGACTGTGTAAACTGCTCAGAGAGGGCTGTGAAGCACTGTGAAGTGGCCTATAAATCTGATTTAGGATTGGGATCAGTCTTTGTCTTAGCCCAATGTACTTCACAGGACTTTGGGAAGAGAGAGTTTGCAGACGAAAAGGTGGGATACACATCTTGAGAATGAATGGATGGATGAATGAGTGAGTGAATGAATGAATAAATTAATTAATTAAATGAAAGTCTAAAATAGAGGGGGAAAGACTTTGCTACTCATGTTTGAGTTCAGTCTCTCCCCCCTCTGGCTGAACTCCTGGCTCTACCCATCTCAAGGACACAATGTCTAATAATTTCTGCTGAAAAGTGGCATTTCTATTCCACATGTCTGTGTTCTCTGCCCTGACATTGCTGAAAATCTCTATCTGCCATAGACTATATTCACTTCAGTTATTCATTTAGCCCCGGGCTGACTTTTGAAGAGTTTGCAGTAAGTAAGTAAGCAAGCAAGTAAGTAAGTAAGTAAGTAAAGAAAGAAAGAGAGAAAGAAAGAAAGAAAGAGAGAGAGAAAGAAAGAAAGGAAAGAAAGAAAGAAAGAAGAAAAGAAAGAAAGAAAGAAAGAAAAGAAAGAAAGAAAGAAAGAAAGAAAGAAAGAAAGAAAGAAAGAAAGAAAGAAAGAAAAAGAAAGAAATGTACTTTTAACAATGGGTTAGGGTTTGGCTGAAATGATGGTGGATGCCTTACCCTGTAGTCACTCGACGTCACATAAAAGATTGGCAGGAATGCCAGCCAGATAATGCAGGTTGTATACATGGTGAATCCAATAAATTTGGCTTCGTTAAAATTCTCTGGGCACTTCCTTGTTTTGAAGGCATACACAGTGCATAAGAGGACGAGGATCACATCATACGTTAAAGAGATGAGCATGCTGGCATCTTTGACGTTGCATTTCAAGATGACCGTCTGCCTCTTCTCCGGAAGGGTGTGTCGGCGAGTGCCCGGAGCTTCTAAAATCAGCCACACGGACACCAACACGATCTGCACCATGACGAGACTCAGGCAGATGAGGACTTGAGAGCGAGGGCTGATGAATTTCGGCCTCTGCGCCCCGTTCTTCACCCCGTTAAATATCCTGGCGATGCAGTTCGTTTTGGTCAAGAGGGCCGAGTAGCAAACGGCGAAGGACGTTCCCAGACCCAAACGGCGCAAGGTGCAAATGGCCGGAGAAGGCTTGGCGATGAAGAAGAAGGTCATGCTGTAGGAGAGGAAGACTCCGAAAAGAAGGATGTAGCACAACTCGCGGCTGGAGGCCTTCACCAAAGGCGTGTTGTTGTGCTTGATGAAAACTCCAACCACGAGGAAAGTACAAATGAAGCCCAAGCACGCGATCGTGACCGGCCCGATGGACCACGCATCTTCCCACTTGATGTAATCTTCTGGTAGGTCGTAACAGCTGGTGAGATCCAGACTGGGCCACCGTCCTGGGCCACAGTCCCTGCAGGTGAATTCGTCAGCCAGGTACTCAAAGGTCTCGCAGGGAATGCAGATCCAGCAACAGACATCTCCGGGTTGCATATTCTTCATCTCGTTGGGCGCGCAGGGGTCACTGCACTGGGCCACGGGGACCAGGCCTCTGGCCCAGTGAATGGCATTGACCTCCAGGGTCAAGGTTTCGGCCCACTGCCCTACTTTCAGGTAGGAATATCGGCCTCCAGCTTGCTGGAAGTTGAAGACGTTGTATCGCCCGATCCCGTCACCGTAAATATCAAATTTAACGAGGTTGTCCGCAGATTTTGAAGAACGGAAGGGAGCTGTGGAAACAGGAAGGAAATAGGGTTTTCCTATTACATTCATATATTGTTGTACTGTTGTACCTTTTGGATAGAATGACAAACAAAATATATGTGAGTTAGAAGAAAAAAGGCCCTGATCTAGTTAACAACTTTCTGGGACAATATAAGATGAATCGATTCTTGGTAATCGCATATAAAACAGCCCACAGCTTTTGTTTCTGATGAAAAAACAAAATTCAACAAGCTAATCTTGATGAACGTGGAAGTGATTCAATGGATCAAAAAGACTCATTTATAATTAAGGTAGGCTTTAATTTATCCCACTGAATTAAAAAAAATTTTTTTTTAAGTATTCCAAGGTACTGGTCATTAGAGAAATGATCTGCCTGAAGACTCCGGGTACCTCCAAACCTATAAAGTTATAAAATATGAGGATATCACAGGCGACTTGAAGTTTAAAAGAGTTTTGCATCCAACCCCAGGATTCTGCAGTCATGGAAAACCACCGGTCTCTTTCCTTGGAAGCTGCTGTTTCAGGATTCCCAGCATCAATTGGCCTTCAAAACAGATCTTCTAAGCTGCTTTTATTGGTGCTTCATCAACTATCAAATACATTGAATACTGAGAGGTTGTTATCAATATGGGAGCTGGGAGGCTTGGAAGGGTTGGGGAAGGACCTAAATCCCATTTTATTTCACTACTGGGAGCCCTCTGTGATGATTAAACATTGGGATTCATTGTTCTTCTGCGTCTTCCTTTCCTACTAAAGCTGTTCCCTCAAACCCAGAAACACAGAGGACAATTACGAATGTACAATTCCTAAATATGAATGGTTTTCTCTTCCCCCTTACCCTCCAGTACGTAAAACTGATTATGAGACTTAGGAGACCCAATGTGATTCAAGAAACTAGAGAGAAATATTAAACAATATTTCTAGTTTCATTTTGGTTTATTTCTGGCTTCCAAGCCTGGTCTTCATTCATTTCAATTATTCTGTTTAGCCACGATCTCCCCAAGATCACTTCTGGTCCAAAACTTGACCTTTTTGGCCAAAGATTTTGCTAGATTAACATTGAGTAATAGACATGACGGGTTCATTAAAATTAATCCCCTAAGAAGCAAGCAAGTAGAATAATTACTGCAGGCACCATGACGGCCATCTGAGAAGTGCAAGTATTGGGAGTCATGCAGGGGTGAAATCCAGCAAGTTCTGACAGATTCTGGAGAACCGGTGGTGGAAATTTTGAGTAGTTCGGAGAACCGGCAAATACCACCTCTGGCTGGCCCCAGAGTGGGGTGGAAAGGGAGATTTTGCAATATCCTTCCCCCAGGAGTGGGGAGGGAATGGGGATTTTGCAGTATCCTTCCCCTGCCATGCCCACCAAGCACCGCCCACAGAACCGGTAGTAAAAAAAAAAGGAACTCCACCATTGGAGTCATGGATTCATCTAAAGAAACTGAAATGACTTTTAGTAAACAGATAAGGGGGTCATCATGTTTTGAAGAAGTCAAACTAGATCATGAGCTCATAAACTCATCGCATCTTCAGGCTGGAAGGGCCAGTGAGGCCACTGAAGCCTTCAACTCCCCTGCAGGAATCCAATTTGAAGGATCTTTGACAGGTCTTGTAGCTGTTGACCTTCTCCCTGAGCTTCTCCTAAAGGAGGGGAACTTATTGCTCTTAACAAAATGATGTTTTTCTGATGTTCAACCAAAACTTAATTTAAGATCATTATTTCAGGTCCGCTGCCCTGGTTTTCTTTTTTTTTTGGTCTATATAGCTGAAGAGGAATAATCCCTTCTTCTTGCATTGATATATTTAATGATTGACATGCTTATCTTTAAATAAATTCTTTTGTAACCAAGATTGTAGCTTTTTGGTCAGAAATCTCAACAGATCTAAAAGTTCCTTCTCCCTTGTTCCGTGCAGAATTTCAAACTCTGCTATTGTCTCCATCTCTCTCTCTCCCTCCCTCCCTCTCCCTCTCTTTCTCTCTCTCTCTCTCTCTGCACATCTATACACGAGACAAAGAATCTCATTTCCTCAGAACTGAATACAAAATAAATTCCCAAGAAAGTGCCCAGCAGCTGACCTGCTTTCTGAAATTCATCTGTACCCTTTCCAGAAATGTAATCCAAGCTCTCCAATCCCCTCAAAAGGCCCGCTGGATAATCCTGACAGGGAATTCTTAAAAAATCATTTTCTGTATTCCTGGTAGTTTCAGTTTCCATAGTTACAGGAAGATTCTGGGATTTTGCACCGACCAAAACTGGCAATCCCCCAAAGGCAAAAAGCAACATTACAACATCGTGTCAATCTTGACGACACCTACAAATTTAAAGAGAGGTGTTGTTTTGAGTGTCACCTTAAGGAAAAGATTTTGGACAGACTATCTTTGGCCCTTTTCCATCGGAATATGATACTTACAAAAAATGACGACAACAACGCAAGACCCCTGAGTGAAAATCGAACAAGTGGCCAACTGCACGGTTGATTGTGGATGCTATTTGGAGTTTCAGGGGAGGCTATGACTTTCCAAGGTTGTTCCTGTCACAATCTATCATCTCTTAGTCTCCTCATTAACTCCCTGCCTCCGGTTGTGTGTGCGATAGCAATTTGTAGTGGCTCATCATTAAAGGAGATACCTCATTACCCTCGCCACCTGGTTTTATTTCCAGTGCAGCCATTATGTAAATAGAGACATCACCACTAAGCATTAGGAAAGGAACACGGTCTTAAAAGATGATTAGAGTCAAAGAAGGTTGCTTCAAGGCAAGCGTCTACAGGATTCGGTCCACAGCATCAGGATTGTTGTGGCCCACCAGAAGCCAGCAGAGTTGGTGGCAGACTCGGACAGTGAGGAGGTTGGGGAGGAACATGGGCCAGTCCTGGAGTCTGGGGAAGGCTCGGACGAGGGCTCTGCATTGAAGGCAGAGATGGGGCCAAGGCCGTCTGACAGTTGTCAGCTACCTTCGGAGTTGGAGGTAAGTGGGGCAGAAGAACAGCTGGAGCCTGTTCCCGATGTGCACATGTGCAGAGCTGCCAGGAGAAGGGAATAGCTAAAGAACAAGGGACGACTCGGGAGTAAGGCCACAGGTGGATGGTGAATGGCCTCTCCCATAAAGAGGAGCGAAAGAGGAGTGGAGTTTGCAGGGGACAATTAATTCATTTCATTAGTGTGAAGATCTGTTCATGACTCTCAGAGACTCTTTGTCAAGTATTTTCTTGTACAGCATTGCATTTGGAACAGGGATGAAATGCTCCCGGTTCGGACCAGATCGGCTGATCCAGTAGTGATGGCAGCGGGTGGTTGGAGAACCGGTAGCAAAAATCCCTGCCCCACCCCCACCTATGCCCACCCCAATCGCCCGGTCGCTTTAACGGAGCAGAACGGTGCTCGCTGGTGCCCAAAGATTTCTTTCAAATCAGCTTCAAAGTCTATGGACTTTGGAGCCATGGTGGCGCAGTGGTTAGAGCGCAGTACTGCAGGCTATTTCTGCTGCCTGCCGGCTGCCTGCAATTTGGCAGTTCAAATCTCACCAGGCTCAAGGTTGACTCAGCCCTCCATCCTTCCCAGGTGGGTAAAATGAGGACCCAGATTGCTGAGGGCAAGAGGCTGACTCTGTAAACCACTTAGAGAGGGCTGTAAAAGCAACGTGAAGCGGTATATAAATCTAAGTGCTATTGCTATTTTCCTTCCTTCCTTCCTTCCTTCCTTCCTTCCTTCCTTCCTTCCTTCCTTCCTTCCTTCCTTCCTTCCTTCCTTCCTTCCTTCCTCCCTCCCTTCCTTCCTCCCTCCCTCCCTCCCTCCCTCCCTCCCTCCCTGCCTGTGGTGTTGCAGGCTAACTCTACCCACTGCCAACAGTTCAATTCCTTCCGCCTTCAATCTGAGGACCCAGATTGTTGGGGGCAAGAGGCTGACTGTGTAAACTACTTAGAGAGGGCTGCTAAAAGCACTGTGAAGTGGTATATAAGCCTATTGCTAGTGCTATTGCTATGTTTCCCTGATAATTTCTTCACGTAGAAATCTGTGTTTGGGATCCTTTTGGGATGGAAAGAAAAAGCGATCAGCCATGCCACTCAGATTCTTCCTACTCGATTTGAAGCCTCCTCCCTCATCTATTAAAATGAGAGAGACGCTCAGAGCCATGCGTGGGAATTTACCTCCCCCCCCCCCCGCATTTTGAATAAAATTAGATGGGGCTCCCAAGGACATTCCACGGGGGCTCAAAAAAAGCCAAGAGGTCAGCCACAAACACACAATGGAAGTCCATGTTAAAAGGGGCAGAGCTTCAACTGGGCAATGACGGCTGTCCTTGTGAGCGTTTGGACCCCTCACTCTGCAAAGACTCCCCCCTCCCCATCAGCGCAGATCTGTCCATTGGCCCGGAATTTATGTGTGCTGTCCATAAATTAGGTCACATCCAACTTTGGGAGGATTTATGACACTGAGGGCCTCTTGAATTCCTAATGTTTGCTGACCCATATTTTAAGCCATTGATTGTATTGGGCGTATATATACGTGTGTATGTAAATTGCAACACCACGTCATATATTTTATATAAATACGTTACATTTTGGAGAATTTATTCTGTATCGAACACCGGATTCTAGTTGATTTCCTCAAACTTTGGGTTTTTTTTTTTTTGTTTGCTGTTATTGTGGGGAGGGGCGGGGACCAATATGGTTAAAGGAGGGGAAAGAATAATCATTATTCAACTGTGTTTTCAGAAAGAGATTTGTCCTGTTTGATTCCTAATTCCCAAGTTTCCCCCTCTGAAATTTTAAGCACCGATGCCTTGGGGTTGATAAGAGCCATTTAATTTAAAGTTATTCGCGTTGGGAAACAGGTTGCACACAAAGCAGCCAGCATTGCAGGCTAATTTATACAAGCAATCAAATTCTAATTACAAAGGAAATGAAAAGCCCACATTTCCCAACCGCTTCACTCCACCCCTGGGCCTTTTAAAGGTGATTCCTATCGCCAGCTTCTCATGCAGCCCATCGAAGGGGATGG